TTTCCACGCTTTTCGTATGTTTATAAGTACATTCTTTTGCGCTCGCTTTATTTAACATTTATTGGTTTTGTTTGGCATTGTTGTTTATACACGTCGGCGGCAGTTTCGAGTTTATATTTATGCAAAGTCAAAGTCGAACGGATACTCCCGAGGTGGCAGTCGATAAAACAAAGATAGATTAGCAAACCCATAAAGGTTCAATGTTTTGCCACACCCAGAAATTTGAACAAATCTTGATAACTGCTGTGATAGCCATATTTAAACTCTTTGATGAATTTTTGAGATTTTTCACTAAAAAAAAAAAAAATGAATTCTAAATGTAATACCAATTTTGAAATTGGAAATTATAAAAATACAAACGCCCAAATACAATTTGTACAATTTTTTTTACTGAAAATTTTAACAATTGCAAATCAAATTATTTTTCAGGGTTAAAAACTAAAAAAAAAAAAAAAAAAAAAGAGAAATCTGTTTAGTGGACCTGAAAAACCAATTAAAGAGTAATAATCAAAAATCGGATATTTTTTAGATTGATAAAATTTCTATTCACTTACTTTCTTGAAGTTATCTTTGTTAAAAATGGCTTAGGCGGTAAGTCTTTTGTATTATTTCCAAATTTTAAGAAAAAACAAGCGTATCCAAAAAAAACTTTTGTTTTAACAAACCCCGAAAAACCGATAAAAAAAAAAAGGGAAAACAAAACATTGCCTATGAATAAGCATATATAATGATCAGGAAGTGAATCGCAGTCGTCTGGAAATGGTCGATGGAAGGGGGAGGCCCTTCCAGACGTCGGATGACGATGTCGGCTTATGGACTTATAGACAAGAACAATGTTGTTGTTGCTTTCGTTGTTGGTAATGCCATTTGGGACAATGCGGCTTTGTCGTTTTTGCACTGCAGTTTTTGCCGTTTGTTTGTCTAGACCAACAAAAGCGGGCAAATTCTCAATTCTGCACTTATCAGTATTCGCAGCAGTGAGTATTCCCTGTCCCATCATCAGCAATTGTCCAGCAGGCAATTGTGTAAATAGCCTATTAACTGTGGCCAACGACTAAGAAGAAGCAGAATAGTGTGTGCGTAATTGAAGAAAGAGCAAAGGGAAGGGAGAGATAAAGAAAGAATCGGAGAAAGAGCAGCTGGAATATGACAGCTGATCGGCCGGAAAATCGGGTTTAAGACCGATTCGTTCTTGGTCACAAATCTTATAGTTACAGTCAAAATTTACAAAGTAAATGTTTTCAAAATCAATTGAAAAGTTTTTTTGCAAACAAAAGTCAAGTTAGTTAATTTATCACTAAACATCGCTATCCAGATGTATATAAAACAGCTCTAAGACATTTGCAAGATCGTAAAATCAACTTTTATACCCTACACTTTAAGATCTTAAATCTTGTAGATTAATGGTATGCCTTTACGCAATCGTTTTAACCACAATAGTGATTTCTTGATGAAGTTGTATTATCTGTACAAAAATCGCAAACAGCTGTTGGCAAAATTAAAACAAGAGCTTTTCGTAATTTCCTTTTTATGTCGAAGGAAACCCTGATTGTGAATAAATATAATTGCAACCCTAAAAATAAAATGAAATTATAAATCTCAAAGTATTTTATGATAAATTAATAAATAGAGAATTTAAAAAGACATTTTTTAACGTTCTTTTATGTTAGGTTTTTAAGCAAACAAATAGGTAACTACAATAGGTAATACCATCTACTTCTTAAAATGTAGGTCAAAGTTGTATCTTATTCCAAAACTTTAAAAGAAAGGAGTTGGAGAAGGGCGACTGTACAAATAGAGATAAAACAAAGAGCAACAGGCGTTGGAAAAAGCTCGCGAAAGCTTTATTTTCGGCCAGGCAACAAGTTGCGAATAACAGGACTTACTAAAAAGAGAGAAATTGGGATAGAGTCGCGGCAAGAGAGAGAGTGAAAGCATTATTTGCACTCTCTTCCAGCTGCTTTCTTAATTTTTTCTTTCGCCTTTTCGCGGTGTTTGTAATTTACACAAAACAAAACAACAAGATAAAACAATACACAATTCATTCGTGTGTATATATATTTTTTGGTCTATTGCAAAAACGTGCAACAATGACGTAGATGCGCTGCAATAACACCAAACAAAGCCAACAACAAAAAAGGCCAGCAGCTGGAAAATACACAAGCACAAACGATGTGCCAACTGATGGAATTGAGCACTCTTCCTCTCTCTTTCGTTTGACCCCCCTCTCTTTTTCTTTTTGCGTTTACGTTTAATTGATACAAAGTTTCCAACGCGTGTCTATTTATAAAGGTGTTGGTGTTGTTTCTTTCGGCAGAGGCGCTATTTTCGCGCATTTTGTTTGATTTGATTCGATTGTGATTGCTCAATGTTGTTTTTATTGTTGCTGCTGCTCCTGGTGTTGTTGTTGCTGGTGCGCCTGCCCCAAAAAGTAAATAAACAAAAGTAGCCAACGCAGCAGCAGCAACAATTACAATAAATGTGTATATAATTGTACAGGTTTGAAAAGTTTACCCGCACAACGGCGGTCAAGAAAATAACGTAATCTATAAATACTTCAATTTTTTTTGTTAAAAACAAATATAGGAACACTATTCCAAACTTTAGAAATTTTATTTTCCAAACCTTAAAATGCAATACAAATTTCTTTACTTTAGTTTGTACAAACCACAACCAGAATCTTGTGTTACTAAAATCAAGCTTTTTTTTTGTAAATTTTCAGTTCTTATTGGATTTTTGATTATTTGCTATTGTCTTTGCCTCTGCTGTGCACAAGCGCACAGGTTGCCAAGTTGAAAATTTACGTTTTCCAACTTATCTTCCCTCCAAAAGATCTCCCGCGAAATGAAAATAATTTGGCGGTCGATTTCTACGCATGCAGAAGTTTTAAATTTATGTTTTATTGCTGACGTTATTTGTTTACACGCACATTTAGGCGTTTAGCGCTCGGTGTTTCAGTGCTCAACGTTCAGTGATCGGTGTTCGGCATTTAATGTAACCAATGTACATATCTGCTGACGCAGTATCATTACCCATCCAAATCCATCTCAATCAGGCGAATGTTTAGCAAATTAACAACCGCCAGAGGAAGCCCAAACAGACAAATCATTTCTGGCTGTCAATTGCAATCGATCGCCTCTTAATGCTCGATTTCTTAATGATTTCAGACCTCTCCTCTTACCTTGCAAAAAACAAAAAACAAAAAAGAACGGGCGGAAAACAATCGCAACTTGAAGCAGTAAAATATTTCGTTTACTTTTAATTGAGCCTGCGTTCGTGGGTTTCTTTGGTGTGTTGGCCCACGCTTTATGCTCTAATTCAGATGGTTAGAAATCGATTGCAACAAAAGAAACTAACAACAACCGAGAGTTAGCCAAAAGCGAATCAAAAAATCCAAGCTTAACCCTTTCAGCGACTTCTGTTTACACTTGCAAGTTTCTTAAAACCCATACAAGGCTGAAAAGTGATTCAGCGAAAATCGGAATAAATTATTTACAGTCGGAATTCTATAAGTTTTACTTGAAATCGTTTCAACAATCAAAGTCTACCGATTCATTCAACATTTTCGGATTATAAAAAACAATCTCATTGATTAAAATAATGTCTCTTCCAGAGAGTACAATGAATGTTGCTTGATTAACATATTTTAGAGTACCATATGTTGGTTCAATATTTGCGAGTAGTACTGTTTATTATAAAACCAAACACTCGCTGCTGTTGGTTTTTTCTGCTGCCGCACAAATTATGTAAATTGGCTGGCACATCTAAGGGTTAAGCGAACGCTTAACGCTCAAGTGAAAATTGGTGAAAATCCACACAAATGTGTCAACAAGTGCCGAGAAACAACAACAGCGATTTAACAACAACAAGAGCAGAGCCAACGAAAACAACAAGAGGCGGGCTTTCCAGTGAATTAACTCCCCCTGAAGATTCTTGAGGCTGCAACCGAATCTACATCTACATCTATATACATCTAGAGATCCGGTTCAGCAAGTTTACCGCAAGCTAGTTACACTACAACAAAAACAAAACAAAAATCTATGTGTATGCCCCGCACACCTGCGGTTAAAATAATAGTAGTAGTAATAGTAGTTAAAAGAAGAAGAATAATTTTGTATAGGAACTAAGCTATACATTTTTCATGGTTCGTTTTTAAATGTTGTTTCTTATATTCTATCTCTAGAATATTTTTAATATGAATCTTTAAAAGTGATTATTCTGAACATTATCATAACCGTTTAAAGGGTAAAACAAATAAATTCCTGTAGTCTAGCACTCGAACTGAATACTAATGTCCCCTGGTAATACCTATCCGAATAAGGAGTCTTTGCAATGACTTGTCTACCATTAATTTATGATATTGTCAAACACATTTGGTTTCGTGAAAATATATATTAAAATGCCTTAAAGAAATTTATGGCTGATGTAACGATTTCCACAGAAACACATTTGGTTTAATAAAAATTTATTTAATTGCCTGAAGAAAAATTAATGGGAAATGTAACGAATTTCATTGAAACTCCAATTAGGTGTCTAAATTTACACTTTTTTAAACGTATTTATCGCTACTAAATTAATTAAAATGTACTCTACCAAAATTGAATTATTTTTGTAAGTGCTACAACGTTTTTATTAATGGGAAGGCACTGACTCACAGTAAAGTTCATTAATGTTTAATGATAAATACATCGTAGTATTATAGTAGTTTGTATTTCGGAGCTGCTAAAGACAGTTTTTATTTAAACAGCGGAATATGAAACATTGTCTAAATAATTTGGCCACCCAATTCAAAAAAAAAGTTTAATTATTTTTAAAACACGATTATTTCACAGTTCCCTAAATATTTCACATTTACTAGGTTCTGGCGTAGCTCTTTAGTTTACGTTTTCGAAAAGTCTGAATCATCGCCTGGCACTTTTCGGAATCACCGAGTCCCTGCTGAGATATCTATTTTCGCGGCCCCAATAGTTTCGGCTGCCCCACCTTCTTTTCGGACTCACCTGTGCAGTCGCTCCGTTTGCTCGGATTCGTTTTGCAGATCGTTGATGGCGAATAGCTCCATTTCGCCGCTGCGCCCGAATATTCCGTTGGGTATCTTGCGCAGGAACTTCTTCAAGACACTGGCGATGGTGAACACCGAGTAGTTGTCGACGTTGACCAGTCGGCCGGCCTGCAGGAAGTGGATGAGCTTCTTCATGGCGCCCTGGTGTCCGGGTGCGCGGAATACATCCCGGCGGTTCGGCGACTCCTTGTTTAGCTTGAGGATCAGGACGAGCAGCGGCCCGGGAATGTTGTTGTTGTGCTTGCAGACCTCTTCCAGGGGCACACCGAACTTCACCTTTTCCAGGCGGTACGGATAGGCGGGGGCTGTGGCGGGGTGGCCGCAGGAGGTCACCACGTTGCCCAAATCGGCGGCACGCCTGTGGACGCGTTCTGCCCAGCTGGACATGGTTTTTCACGCGATTTCCTTAACGCGTGTATGCGTGTGTACGTGCGTGCCTGTGTATGTATGCGAGTTTTTCACGAGCGGGGGAAATGTGCTCGGGCAGATTTTATGGTTTTATGCTGGCCACAAACATGTTCACTAAACTGGAATGTTAGTTTGCTCACTCTACAGAAATTTTTAATATCCTTTTCTTCCAAACTTTCAAGTCCTGGTTTTAACACCACAATAACACTTTGTTTTCGACTGCGTTGATTAAAAAATCGCCACCACTCCTGCTGTATGCATTTTTTTCTCTTCTTTCGCGTCTCTCTTTTCCACTGCGTTTCGTTCGTTTCTTTTTGCTTTTCTTCTTTTTGGCCAACGCCTCGGAGCTTTGATTTGCCTTTGCACCTCCGCTTGCTGAATTAAACGCCCGAATTATTGCATACCGTTTGCTTTTATTGAGTGCGCGCTCACTTGGTTAGTTTAGCACTAGTTTAGTTGAGTTACTCGGATTACTTTGTGGCGTCTGCCGCACGCTCGACTTTTGCTGTTTAATTTTCGTTTCTCTACTAGTGTTGAGTTGCTTTCGGTTTTCTTACAAGTGTTGGGATTCGTTTTTTTTCTACTAGTGTTGAAAAATGCCTCACAGGGGTAGCAAGTGCACTTCCAAAACTATCGAGTACACCCTCCTAAGCCAGCAGCCGAACCCTCCACCGTTAGCCGAGACACACTCCAAGCATATGGCGGTACGTTTAAATTTTGGAAATCGTGCAGTACTTGAGGTTAATGAAATGAAATCAAAGAAATAAATTTAAAAAGAAACGAGAAATTCAGCTACACACAAAGTAATTTAATGAAAAGCTGAAATCTTTTGTAGATCTGAATGCTAAGCCTTAACCAATATTAACCATTTGTGACGTCACACTCTCACGATTAGCGGCATCGTGAGAACATGCTCAAACGCCACCTTCTCAGCGGCAGAGCCATTGCCGCCATCCCTGGACCAGATAGTGCCACCCTGGTTTTTGTTTTGTAAAGTGAAATTGTTGCAAGTCAAACAACAATAACAAAAAGCATTAAAAGCGCATAAATAAAATACAAACCTCTTGGCTACACAAGTACGTATAGTGCAGTAGTCGGCTTTGCGGTAAAGAAACTCCATTTCCACCCACGTTTTCGCTGGAAATCGGTAATTAATTTTGTGTTGTCTGCTGTGAAAGTAACAACAACAAAAAATCAAGAGTAACGTCAAGAGCAAAAATAGTTTTTCTCACTTTTTAAAAGAAACGACAAATATAGAAGTTTTTTAACCGAACAATTTGAACTGGACATTAGACGAAAATTTGCAGTTTTCCCAACCCGCAGACGAACAGTCATCGCTTTTGTGACGTGCTCACCTTGAATTCATCAGCAGGCAGCAAGATATTGACCCTGCACATAGACACTCGCGGGCACACAAGTAGTGCGCCCATAAAGTAACCCCTTTAAGACAGATAACTGATATGCTTCGTCGTTCGCAAAACTTTTATATCGACAGAATACAGCGGCAACTGCAATTGCGTGAACAAATGACCACCGCCGCCTCCACATCGCAGCATGCGACATCGTCCTCCACACTGATGGCGGGCTCTGGATCTCTGGCCACCTCGTCGTCCGCCACCTCCACGGGCGCCGCACCCACGACCACGCCCAGCAGCTCGGCGGTGCGGGCCCTGGCCATGGAGTACAAGTCGCTGCAGGAGGAGCCGGTCGAGGGATTCCGCGTCAAGCTGATCAACGACGACAATCTGTTCGAATGGGAGGTGGCCATCTTCGGGCCACCGGACACCCTGTACCAGGGCGGCTACTTCAAGGCGCACATGAAGTTCCCGCACGACTATCCGTACTCACCGCCATCCATACGCTTCCTGACCAAGGTCTGGCATCCGAACGTCTACGAGAACGGGGATCTGTGCATATCCATACTCCATCCGCCGGTGGATGATCCGCAGAGCGGCGAGCTGCCCTGCGAGCGCTGGAACCCCACGCAGAACGTGCGCACCATCCTGCTGTCGGTCATCTCGCTGCTCAACGAGCCCAACACATTTTCGCCGGCCAATGTGGACGCCTCGGTCATGTACCGCCGATGGCGGGACTCACAGGTTAGACTGGCTCTTCCGCTTAAAGTAAATGTCTAGTATACGGACTACTTGAAACCATGAATGCGAGGTTAAACCTGTACTACGGAGATTTGTTTATTTATTTTTGGATTAAAAATGTCCTCTATTTAATATTTCCTTAAATGTTGACTAATTTGTGAATGTACCTTGCTAGAAGTCCGTATACTAGACATTTACCCCGCTCCATTGGCTCTTTAATAAGGACTTACTAATTTCAGGGTAAGGACAATGAGTACCCCAACATCATACGCAAACAGGCCCTGGCCGCCAATGCCGAGGCCAAGCGCGAGGGCATCGTGGTGCCGATGACCCTGGAGGACTATTGCCTGAAGCCCACGCGCAAGCCCACAACGGAATCTGGCCTGGATGCCAACTTCTACGATGATGATTTCGATCTGGAGACGGAGGACGATCTGCCCACAGACGACGACTTTGATGAGGACGATGACGACGACGAGGACGAGGATGAGGATGAGGAGGACAGTGCCACGGCGTCGATTAGCAAAAATAATGGCGGCAGCAGCAGCATCAAGTGCAAGAACAACGGACTTGGCAGGGAGGCGGCCGCCGCAGGAGCGGATGATGCCGAGTCGGCCGACGACAGCGGCAAGGGCGAGACCACATAATGCAGCCAGGCCGGAGTCGCTTCATCTCTTCCTCCCACTCCTGCCCTAGGCGGCGAGCCACCGCCTTTTCATTTCTCCAACATTATTACTATGATTAATGCTAATTATAAACGTTTCAAAACTAAACCGATCAACTGAGAACACAATTATTTACCTAGGGTATTTGAAACCATGGTCCTAAGCTGATTTTACCTACTCAATTTTACTTTAACAACGTAGATGATTCGTATAAGCTATCGGTGCGAGCGGGCTAACTCAATTCCCAGCCTGTGGCAAGCAATTAATAGAGTTCAGGGACTTCTCCAAAACCTTTTTATGCAGCTTAGTAACACAGAAACAAAATGAATTAAACCGAAACACTTGAAACTCAACCAGAAACTGATTATCAATATATATACACGATATATGCAGCATATGTATAAGGTATAAATTAATATTTAAAAATATGCATACACACATTTTTATGAGCAAGAACGAATGAAATGAAATACAAATGTCCCGACTCGAGACACGACATCCTATCGCAGAGCATCAAGGTAAACAACAGCATAGCATACACATAACATAATGAACAATCAATGGATTTCAAGAATAAAAGCAAATATGAAACCTAGCATTTTAAGCCATTTTTAAGTGCAAAATTGACAGAGTAAGTTATAAACCAACAATTGCAATATAGAGACGAAGAACCGCATTGTATAAACAGTAACAGAATTGCAACAAAGATAAATAAGCCAAATAAAATTACTGAAAAAAAGCGAGTCTTTTAATTTGGGAACTGGGAGCTCTTAACTTATACGACAGATGTATTCGTTTTGTTTTTTGGGTGAGAAACACTTTATTAAATATAGCATTTCCCCATTAATTGCATTTATTTGTATAATTTATTTGTTCGCTTTGTAGTTCGAACTACTTAAATTTGAGCCACGAGCTTCGCCCGTTTCCGCCAGGCTAAAAGCGCCGGCGTCAGATCCTTGTCGGTAATAGCGGGCATGCGTATCAGTGAGCTGTAGACACCGATGTCGGCCACCGACATCTGAGAGCCACCGAAATACTGCTGTTGCTGCAGGCGCTTGTCCAGCGATCGCACCATCGCCACCTGCGCTTTGTGCGTGTTGCAGCGCAGCAGTTGGTAGCAAATGTCCAGGACGAGATCGATCTCGTTGCAAAGCGGAGAGCCCTCATAGCGATATTCGGCGGGACCCACACGGCCCAAGTACCGGATGATATTGACCTCTCCGTAGATGGGCACATACATCGTAGGCGAGCTGATCATCTCAGTGTGTTCGCCTGCGGAAAGTATAAGTATTAGTTAAATAAAAAGAGTTTATAATCCAATATTAATCATTACTTACAGTTCTTCCATATGATTGTCACATTTATTTTTGGCAGCGCTGGGTTTACCGGCACCTTGGCCAAGTTAGCCTCGAATTCCCGGGCTGCTGGTCCAATATCGGCCATCGTGGAGTGTGTGAAGGTCTTCACATCAATCGTGTACAGATTCCGCCAGGCATTCTTCAATGCCAACAGCGCATAGGGTATGAAATTGGGATGTCCATTGATGACGACATCTTGCAGGGGCACCTTATATGTAAATATTAAAGTTTGAGAGCACCAAAAATTAATAATATTGCATCACTTATTTAATCGGTAAATCTATTTTCTTAGCATTTTAAAGTTATTCAAGCAATAAGCTTATGTTATTGCTTCATTGTGTCGAACTTAGTATGAATATTTTCTTATATTTTTTGGTGGTAGCTCCTACCTCTTTTAAGCCACCATTCTGATAGGCGGTCGTGTGCTGGAAGGTCTTGCCGCAGACTCCGAGTCCAGCCCGAATCTGTCCCAGCTGCGCCTTGAGCTCCTCCAGCTGCTTGAGCACCTTCTCCTGGCGAGCAGTCACCGATGCCGTGTCGTCCTGAAATCGGATAAAGGATACAGGAAATTGATCGGCTTAGAGGGAAAACCACGGTGTTCCATTGGGCACACGAAAAGAGAGCAAGCAACACAAAACGGAGCGTGGATGCATTCTATTTCTGAATTTTTGTTTGGTTTCTTTTTGGTTAGTCGGCGGTGGTGGTTTATAAATAGAACTTCGTATTTTAGTAGCTTTTGTTGTTTTGGTGGTCTTAACCTTTAGCAGTTGCTGTATTTGTCGGCCTAAAGTGTCCAAATCAAGTGCGCATGTGGCTGCGTTTCGGCTTGTTTTGCTCTTCCCGCTGGCCTCCAATTTCTGGCAAGGATCACACACATGCGGGAATGGAATGGATGGCGTTGTCTTTTACTGTCGTTGCGATCCTGGCCAATTTCTGGCTGGCCTGGCGGTCAACTTACGCTTGATGATGTGGACGCCGAGGACGAACTGGCCAGGGAATCCGCCGCCAGGCTCACGTTCTTCAAAGGATACATGCAGGTGGGCAGCTTGATGTCGAATTGCGGCAGCAGGGTCTTGAGTTCGTACATTTCACCGCCAAAATCGTTGCAAAATAACAATAATTGATTTGGAAATTGCAAAATGTGCTTGCTGGAGATGGTCGTTTTCTGAATTAGATATGGAACTTTGGTTCTCAACAATCGTTTGCTATTTATTTTACTATAAATATATCGTTTTACTCATCAATTAGTGTTCTCACTTTTGCTATAATTATGAAAGTGTTCCCATATTTAAATATTCGTTACCATATTTACATAATTTTTTCAATTATTTTAACATAGCTTTAATATCATTTACTTTATTATATTATACTAGTTTCATAACTTTCCTATTTATTTTACTATAAATATATCGTTTTACTCATCAATAAGTGTTCCCACTTTTGCTATAATTATGAAAGTGTTCCCAGATTTAAATGTTCGTTACATTATTTCCATAATTTTTTCAATTATGTATTTAAACATAGCTTTAATATCATTTATTTTAATATCTTATACTAGTTTTAAACTGTTGTGGCCTTGGGCGGCACCTTCGGTATGCGTTTTATCCTCTGATCCACAACGTGGCGCAGGCGTCTTTCGGGTTTAACCAATTCGCTTTCCGCCATGGGCTCGATGACCTGTCCCTTCCGCGTGATAACAGGAGGACGGGTTAGCATCCTAAAGGCCGTCTCGGGCACAAAGCTCCTGCCAATCGGGGCACGAATGCTGGCCTCGTAATCTGCCAGGGATTTGAAGGGAAACGGGATGCTGGAGACCAAGTGCTCGCGAGCCACTTTGTTGGCCGTTTCGTTCACGTAGAGGTTATCCTTGTTGTCGTCACGTCGCTTTTCCGGAGCAGCCAGCTTCAGAAGCAGTCGCTTATTGCGCCTTTCCATCACCGCCTGCGAAATGCCGGCACCCGCCCAGGAACCCCATCCTGGCATGGCGAGCTGCAGCTCCGTGTTTTTCAGCTCAGAGTCCTTGGTTTTGTCACGATTGAAATCAGCAATAATGTCATCGTCCTCGAAGGCTTGACTAATGGTCAACTGGCGTTCGGCCGCCGCATCTGCCTCATCGTATTCCGCCGTCTCATCATCGATGAGGGCATCATTAATGCCACTCGCACCTGATTTCTTCTGAGCAAACACCAAAGTTGTCACCTTGTTGGGATCTATGGTATCGACAGTTGGATTTTCCGCGGCTTCTTGATCTGTTTGAACTGGGATTTTCTTTTGAGACTCCTTCTCCTGTTCATAATTTAAGGGTTCATCGATCTCAATTTGCTGTTTTGTCTTTTTTAAGGCCAGACTTTTAAGGTTTTTCAGCGCGTCTCTCTTTTTCGTTTTCTTTCCTTTGACGGGAGCTTCCTTGAGTTTGTCCACCCGTTTCTTTAGTTTCTCAAGTTTCTTGCTAAGTTTGGCTCTTATGTGATCCTCGTGCTTTTCAAAAATATCATCGATTGATTTCGAGTCAGCTTTTCCTTTGAGTTTTTTGGGCTCAACCTCTTCGACTTGCCAGCCATTTTCTATTTTAACTTTTGATTTCTTAAGCACTTTCTTGGCCGGTTTTGCTTTGGTTATTGGTTGTTCGTCAGTTTCTTCTGCGTCTTCTTGTTGTTTATTTTCCAAGCCTTCCTCCGCTTCTTCAATGTCCCTGCGATGTTCCTCCAATAATTTTTCATTTATATTCCGTTTTGTCCAATATTGCCGCCAATTAGGTTCCTCACTCTCAGCATTGCCGTTTTCAGCAATCTCAGCAGTTTTTCGCTTTGTCCAAGGGTTTAAGGGATCGTAGTCAATGTCCTCCTCCTCAGCAGCCAATCTCTTCCTGCTGGCTTCCTCCTCCTCGCTGTCGGATTCCTGCTTTTTCTGTGTCAACTCCCGGCTAACAGCTAATTGCTCGGCCAGATCCTTTCGCACATCCTTGTCGTATTTGGCCCGTACCTGCAGATTCTTTGCCCAGGTGCCGGTGTTTTTGTGCCGCAGACTCGCACGCTCCTGCACTCGGCTTTTTTCCAAAGCGTTAAGCTTCTCCAGCGCAGCCTCCGGGTTGGTTTTCTGCAACAGCTCGAACTCCTTCATTTGCTCCAACATTTTCTGCCGCTTCTGCAGCTTGTGGAACTTCTTAGATTTGATTTTATTTTGCATGCGTGCTTTGGCTGACTTTTGGGATTCGCGCATCTTTAGGTAGGCCAGCTCCTTCCGGCGCGCGAAGAGCTCATCCCGCGTAAGCTTCTTCTGCAACAACTGACGTTCCTTTTTGGCCTCTTCTTTTTCATCCGTGGTGTCGCCTATCTGCGCCTTGCGCAGCTCACGTAGTTTACGGTTGCTGGCTTCCAGTTCCTTGGCAAGATTGGATTTTATGCGAGTGTTAAGCGGACGTGCTTTTGCCGAAGTGTTAACGTAGATCGTTTCAGAGGGTATGGGGAAAATCTAGGGAAATAGTTATATTTAATGTGATGATGGGATATATGTTGGGTATGCAATGGACTCACCTGAGTCTCCGCCGACCGCTGTTGGGCGACCACAGCATCCCAGCGGCCTAGCTTCTTGGTTACTCCCTCGTATCCAATAGTTCGTTTAATGCGATCCGCCGCCGGTTTTTCCAGTGGCTTTTCTAACACCTTCTTGCTGCCTTGGACGTTCTTGAGCTTCTTGCCCGTCTGGCTGTGCTTCGTGGACGTGCGCAGGATGTCCACCAGATCGTGAAGACCCACTGACCGGGGCGCCCGGTCCGTTTCCACCGACGACACGCTCTTCACCAACTGAAACTCATCCTGGCGCGATTGGCGCTCGTCGCGGGTTGACTTTTGAATGTGCTGCACCTTGCCCAGACTGCCGATGGCTTGCAGGAGCTTCTTGTGCGCCCTCGGTTCGTAGGTCTCCTCATCGTCGCTCATGTTAAAGCCAAAAATTAACAAAGTTCAAATAACAATAAAAAGATTTCAAGGCGCACGTGTGCAGAGCAACAGCTGAAGTGTTATCGATAACAACTAATTTCCATCACTATTGTAGGCAATGCACAAATACATGGGTGTTGCAAAGGGACTTTCCGATTTATCATATATTATTGTAGGCAATTGTTTTTAATGTAAATAATGAACACTAAATAAGCAAGATATTTTGTCATTTATATCTATTTTAACAGCAACAATAAAATTGAATTTCTTAAAGAAATATTAACAACTTAGACCCACTCTTAGATTTCCTTTTCTTAACTATCGATTGTCAGCCGGCTAAAGACCGGCTATCGATGCCGCTGTGATTCCTTTTGTTTACATTTCGACCCGAATTTCGACATGGCCGACACGAAATCCGGAGCTGGTCGTTATTCGGCTGCCGGAGGCAGTGGAACCAGCGGTCTGTCGCCTCTGGTGCAAGGACCGGCGAACCTAGAGTGTAAGGATTTCCAGGAATATCTGCGCACTCGCCAAACGCCCGAGACGCTGGAGAAGCTCTACAACTATCCGCCCATTTGTTTGGCCGTGTTCCGGGAGCTGCCCGAGATCGCCAGGCAGTTTATCATACGGATACTGTTCGTGGATCAACCGGTGCCACAAGCGGTAGTCACCTCTTGGGGTGCTCAACGATGTGCCAAGTAAGACAACCTCTTGCAATTTCAAAACTCCTACTTTATCACTTCATTTTGCAGGGAGCAAACGGAGGCTACCAGCTGTCTGACAGCGCTAAATGTCTGGCGGGTCACAGCCATTCCGGGTGGACTTTCCGCCTGGGAACTTTCTCCCACCTTCAAAAAAAGCGTGCGCCAGGTGCTGCTGGGCGGAGGAAAGCCTTGGCCCATGACCAACACGCTGGAGAAGGATTCGAAGCCCAGAGACATCGCCTTCCTGGACCAATACGCCATGTCCCGCTGGCGCTGCGTGCTGCACTACATGGTCGGCACTGGGAATCGTAATGGTAGCGATGCGGAGGCGATTAGTCCGGATGCAGTAAGGATTCTACTGCATGCCAATTTAATGAAGCGTGATGAACGCGATGGCATTACAATAACCCGTCAGGGCTTCCAGTTCCTGCTGCTGGACACGCGGGCTCAGGTGTGGCACTTTATGCTCCAATACCTGGACACATGCGAGGAGCGAGGGATCAGCCTGCCCGAGTGTCTGTCCATGCTGTTCCAGCTGAGTTTCTCGACGCTGGGCAGGGACTACAGTTCGGAGGGCATGAACAACCAGATGCTCACCTTCCTTCAGCATCTAAGAGAGTTTGGATTGGTCTTCCAGCGAAAGCGCAAGGAGGGTCGCTTTTATCCCACTCGTTTGGCCCTGAATGTGACCAGCAAGGAGGCGGCGGCGACTGCGTCTGTGGCTTCGGAAGAGGAGGGGACCCATGACAGCGGCTACATCGTGGTGGAGACGAACTACCGCGTGTATGCCTACACCGACTCACCGCTCCAGGTGGCCGTCTTGGGTCTGTTTACGGAGCTGCTTTACCGCTTTCCCAATCTCGTCGTGGGCGTGCTCACTCGAGATTCAGTGCGTCAGGCGCTGCGCGGTGGAATCACTGCCGAGCAGATTGTCTCGTATCTGGAACAGTATGCCCATCCAAACATGCGGCTGGTGGAGTCCGCCATCCAGTCCAAATCCTGCCTGCCACCAACGGTCGTTGATCAAATTAAGCTGTGGGAATTGGAACGAAATCGTTTCACCTACACGGAGGGCGTCGTCTACAACCAGTTCCTCTCCCAGACGGATTTCGTGACGCTAAGGGACTACGCCCAGTCGATACACATGCTGGTGTGGCAGAACGAGCGAACCCGCACCATGGTGGTGCAGAAGAACGGCCACGACGACGTCAAGCGCTACTGGAAGAAGTACTCAAAGAGTGGAGTTTAAGCGGGAACTACTTCACTTCTGCGAAGGTTATTCGAGAGCCACATCCTCCTCCATATCGTTTTTAAGCTAACTGTTTAGTATATTGTTTAATAATTGAGTGGGAGATATAGCATCGACATATAACGTACAAGAAGGAGAATAATATTAAAGTACATAGGTATCATATACAAGAAATTATTACACACGAAACCACTTTAAAGCTTGACCTTAGATCGTACTTCAGGGAGGGTCGACATGTTAGAATGCCATTAATTAAGAACTGAGCCGAAGGAAACGATGTAAAAGCAATTCGAAATCAATTTCTTGAATACTTAAGGTCTGGTTGGACTTTTACAAAGGAAATATGGAACTGATCAATAAATGAATATGCGTTCAACAAATAAAACATATATAAAACCATTTTGTTTGTTTTGCTTTTCGTACCAGACCTTCAAGAAAATGAATTCCGACTAGTTTAAATATTCCGTTCGAAAATAAGTAATTAAAAAGCAGTTCGACCCAGCCTAACCTACTTAAATGCAAATGGAAATGGATGTGGCGGAACTTAATACAAGATCGGTCGCTGGGGCATGCAGAGGTTGTAGTAGCTGCCCTTCGCCCAGAAGTCCATGCCCTTCCAGCCGCACCAGCCCTTGATCTGAATAGTGGCCAGATCATCGGCTCCTGTGTAATGCGGGTCCAGGATGAGGAACTTCACCTGACCCGTCTGCACGCAGTAGTCCACTCCGATAATCGTGTGGGCCAGCACACCGCCGCCGATCATCACCGGGGTTCCTTGCGTCTGGAAGTGCATCGCCAGCTCAGAGGCCACGGTGGCCAACTCCGCCCCGGAGGCCACGTGCAGGATCTTCGAGTCCACGTTGAGGAATCCCTGAAGGCACATGCTGATCTCCGTGGAGCCAATCCATTGCGAGGAGCCGACAAAGGCGGCCGGCTTGTCGTTGATCTTGTGCAGGTACTCCTGCACCTCGAGGTGCGTGGGAATCGGTGCGTTCGTATAGCCCTGCAGGACGAACCACGAGCAGATCGTCTGCAGCGATCGGTAGGCGCAGCCCCATCCCTTATCCTGCACCTGCTGCTGCAGATAGTGGTAGTAGTGGTAGTTGCCGTTCACCAAGTACTCCTTGCCATCGGTAACGCCACTGGGACGGACTCCAATGTGCGTGTTCAGCAGCGGAGTCCACGGTGTGTCCTCCGATTCGCCGAGGAAGCGCACCTGATTGGCTCGGCGGAAGTACGGACGACTGACAGGCAAGGCAAACTGGCGATGGAGTCGCTTCCGTCTTTCCTGCATGCTCGGCTCATCATCGCCCAGATCCTCCAGGTAGGCGCAGCTTACAAAGTGTCCGAACTCCTGCGGATAAAAGTGGTAGCTGGCGGGCACCAGCAACTTGCCGCTCTCGGATTCTGTGAGGTGTTCGATGAGGCTAAGCTCGAATAATCTCAAAGCCCGGCAGATGCTCTCGATAAGCACATCGTACAGCCGCAGCAGTTTGGTCTTCCGGCACAGGATGGCCATGGCTTCCACTTGCAGTGGAACCTGTACTCTGGTCTGCTCCTCGGTGAACACGCCTATGCTTAGTGCCGGATGGGGTGGCGAATCCCGGGCGACGGGATCCCGGCTGCGAGTGCGCAGCACATCGATGGGGATTACCTCGTAGTCGCAGCCAGTGGGCGCCAGGCGCTTGACCGGGGCTTGCTTGCCCTTCTTCTTGTCGCCACCGGCAGACTCCTTTTCATTTCCTGGACTAGGAATGACATCAATAAGGTCCTGTATTTGGGATCCACTGGTAAACTGCTGATCCAGTGGGCCGCAGCTGTTGATGAAGATCTTGGTCTGCGGTACATTAAACACCAGACTGCCATCGGCCACACGCTTGCGCAGCACGTGCATTTCCCGGGAAACGGATTCCCGTGTGGCAGCTGTTTGCAGAAAGAATCCGCACTGAAGCCGCGTGAAACAGAAGTCATTGTACAGCTGCTCTGCCTCCATCACCTCGTAGGGCACCTCCTCCAGTTTGCCGTGGACAAAGAAAGATGCACGTAGGCCAACCAAGGTACCCAGTTCGCACTGCAGCAGGATGGGATTATCAGTGATGTCCACTGATTTGATGACCTCATTAAGGTGTGCCTCGCCATCGGTGCAATCGCCGAACTTTACTAGCCCACAAAGATCCAGCTCTGCCGGGAATCTGTGCTGAATCTGCTCGTAGTTCAGCTGTCCCAAACTGGACTCAATGTTGAAACTCAGAAGGAGTAGGGTTCCCTCTCCGTAGAAAACTCCATATAAACAACCACTGCACTGTTGCTTAGTTCGCTCCAGGCGCTAAAGTCGGAATGTTCTGGTTAAATGCTATTACTATTTAAGCTTAATGAACTTTCACCTTAAGCAGGAATGCGGAAATCTTCAGTTTGGGCAGCATGTTTCGTTAAAAATCTTAATGAAAATAAAGTAATTCGGCCACAAGCGTAATTATTGCACAGCTGGCAATTATCTATCGATAACAGCGTCGTTGGGGCTAAAAACCTATCGACATGGGCACAGAAAATCCCCTTTTTAAGTCTTTCAAAACTTCAGAAATAAAGATTTATTTAATTAACCAAAAATATTTGAGAATAGTAAATTTAAAAACAATAACTATTTTTTAAATATTGATAGATCAGAAAGTTTGTAATAAAGTTGTATCCAAAAAATACATTACATTATTGGAAACAACTTCAATTGATTTAAATGTTTGAGAATAGTAAAATTAAAATCAATAACTATTTTTTAAATAGATCAGAAAGTTTGTTATAAAGTTGTATCCAAAAAATCCATTACATTATTGGAAACAACTTCAATTTTCTAAATCAATTGCGTTTGAAAAATTTACGTTAAACAATTTTAAAAATTTAAGTCACATAACATGACTGACTATTTCAATTGCAAGCAAATTCATTGCCAGACCACATTTCTCCATAAATTGTGGTTGCTCTGATCCATCAGTGCACCAAAAAATATTAAACGCTTTTAATACACACACATATAACATTTATTTAATATAGATTTTATATTGAATTCGGCATAGTGTATAGATTCGCAAAAATGTTATAAACGCAGCTCACACACCGCGCTCCTCTCTTCGCTCCACATGACTCTCCCTTCGACTCGCCGTCCGTAGTCCACAATTAGTTAATTCTATCAATGTTACACATTTATATACAGTACATAATTGCGTGGTGCCTCTTAGATTTGCTTTAACTGGAATATCGTGCTTTTTCTCGATTTGCTTTCGTGCCTACTAATTTACATAAAGAGTTTTCAAGCGGTTATCTTTTTTTGTATCCTTTAGTTACGACATCTACAAGCTACTAGGTTTCAGAATTTTCTAATTAATTTCATTGCTAAATTGTATGATTTGCGCAAAAAACACAAGCTTACTTCAAAAAAGTTTAAAACGCAAACCCTCACTACAAATATATATTGAATTCCTGCGGCTTTCATATCATTCTTTCCACGTCCTTTCCCATCTAAGATAATCCTTTAAACGCGAAATTTAAAACACAAGCATCCATATCCACCACGGCTGTTCTGGTGCTACTTTCTCTGCTTGGCAGCTGAAGTGGCTCCCGTTGCTCCAGTGGTTCCGCCTCCTGTCGCAGCCGTTGAGTCCTTGCGCGGTCCTGTGGAAATAGTCACGCTTGGACTGGCCGGCTTAGTCGTTGTCATCGAAGTTTTACAGCCAGTGTTCTGGGGCTTGGTTTTGGGTGCCGGTGTTCCAGGGGCCGAGGTTTTTCCTGAAATATAATAGCAAATTTTATTATAAAGTTCCTTATAATGTGAAAACCAAAGGCATGCATGTAAAGTAACTAACCCTGGTCGACCTTTTTGCTTTTGCCAGCCGGCTCCATCTCTGGCTGCTCGGTGGCCTTCACCTTCGTCGGCTTTTCCAGAGTTTGAGTGGGCGAGGACGAAGATTCACCTTCGGCGTACTCCTCGATGGCGGGCATAAATCCCTCGGACACACTGCTGCTGTCCTGGGTGCTGGTGGGCGAATCCTTCTCCTCGGCAATGCGCGGCAGCGGCTCACAATTGGCCAGGGTGACCACAGCAGTGTTACTTTGCTCTGTTGTTCCGGCAGCGGTTGTGGGAACCACCGTAGCCCCAGCGTTTTGTCTTTGAGATTCCTCAGCGGCGGACGTGGCCAGTTGCTGCGGTTGTTGTCCTGCAGCAGAACTCGAAGCTGCTCCAGTAACGGCGGCTCCTCCAGCTGCCGCTGCAGTGCCGCCTGGTGTCGACCGCCAGGTGGTGGTCACCACTCGCTGGTGCGTCGGCTGTTTAATGGGCGGCGAGCAGCAAAGTGGCGATATCTTCGTTTCGGCACTGCGCGGATGCAAGCGATCCGGGGACAAGGCGCGCCTTAGCAACGGAGAACTGGGCTCTGCCGACTTGGTCCGAGCAAATCCCGCCTTCTTGCTGTTCGCATTCACCGCCGTTTGCAAAGTGGGCAGTGTGCTGCCCGGACTGTACGACTGCGTGGTGTTCGAGGCGCCGGGTTGATGGCCAACCAGCGGAAAGGCCAACGGGGATGGAGATCGCGTGGGCGACGATGGCAGCGGCGATGGCGACGGTGTTCGGGCCAACGGAGACAGCGGAATGTGACCCACAGACTTGCGGCGATTCGGCAGCGAATTGTTGCTCGTCGTGTGGAGGGTCTTCAGTCCTCCGGCGGGATTACTGGCATTGCCGCCACCTGCGATCACGGCAGTGGCCGCGTGCAGCTTGTGCTTTAGACCATGGAGAGTGGATGGACGCTGATACAGCTGCGGAACGACGCCAGTGGGAGATACTATTCAAAAATTAAAGGGTTTACTTAATGATCTAATAACAGGTATTATTTTTTAAGCTTCCCACCTGGCACATTTCCCACAGAGGTGGGACTGCTGCCGACAACGGCTCCCACGTGAGGCAGAAGCACCAATTGCGTTGGCGGCAAAGCAGCGGGCAATTGCACACTGAGGGCCGAGGGAGCAACTGGAGCGGCTCCTGCGTTACCACCGTGATTGGAACCACTCGAACCGGTGGGTGTGTTGGGCGACGAGGATGAGGGCGAGGTGGATTGCGATGAGTTGGCGGCCGACTGACAGCAGCTGCTGTGGTACGAAGAGTCCAGCGGCGACAAATTCCTGGCCGATGGAGTGGTGGGTGAACTGGTGCCAGCGGAGTACTGCAAGAATTATAAGTGGGTTAAATTCAATGCTTTGAAGCCACTGATTAAATGTAATCTCACCTGCTGCATTTCGGCATTGGCACGCTTGCTGCTTATCCGGCGGAACAGCGAGGTCTTGCGCTTCTTGTCGTGCTCCCGCTTCGTCTGCTTCTTCTGGCGATTGAGACCCTTCTTGGCCAGCTTGCTCTGCATGAGATCGCGCTTGCGTCCACCGCTCTGGATGCTGGTGTGCTCAAGTGGCGTGGCCCTTAGGGTAACATGCTCGCCGCCACTCAGGAGCAGCTGCAGCACCTGCGTGTGGAACAGACCCTGCACAGCCTCTCCGTTCACATGGGTAATGAGATCCGCAGGCCGCAATCCGGCCTCAAATGCAGGACTACCCTCATCCACCGCCATGACCAAATGATGCATCGTATAGAAGTCCGTGTCGCCATAGTAAACGCGAATGGTGTGGACAGTGAAGCCAAAGCCACGCGGTCCACGTCGAATAATGATCGGTGGCTTCAGATTGGTCACCAGCGGCGAGAGCTCCCGGCAAGGTGAGGTATCCCTGGAGCTGGCCGTGCTGGAGCCGTTGCCTCCTCCGCCGGGCGATTGGATGCCGCACAACTGCGCGGCCAACTGCATGTTGTCCAGCGAAGTGGTTAGCGACAAACCCAAAGCGGATGCCGATTTAACAATAGACCTGGAACGATGATGCTTCATGCTGCTGCCACTCGTGCTGCCGTCCATCGATTTCGGTTGATGCTGCAGCGCCAGCGGGGATTGTTCCCTCGGCAAGTTCATGTTCTCGGTGGATGAGCTGCCGGCGGAAATGGTTTCGTCCTCGATCGAGATGGAGAATCGCGGCAAGATGTCCCTGGCGCAAACGCCCTTCCGTTTCCGGTTGATCTGCGGCGAGAAGTCATCGCTGTCCGTCTGCGAGCTTTCCGGTGTGCTGCGCGAAAAGCTGCTGCCCACCGTTGCCGTTGGCGGAGTGGCCGCCATTGCCGCCTGAGTTTGAGTGGGTGGCGGTGTGGCCGGCGTACTAATGATGGTGGTCGTATTCGGCGGCATGCTGTGGCGCTGCTGCAGGCGCTGCGTGGCCCCTGGATTGGGTTGTTGCAGGTAGTGCTTCAGCATCCGCAACTCGGCGTCGTTGCCAATGGTCACGTTGTGCAGCAATTCGGGCAAGTAGTCGGCATCCGGCGTGGACGGCACTTTTAGGCAGCTGGACGAGAGCTGTAAAGTAAGATAGATAATAATAATAAAAGAATAATAAATAGATGTATGATTTACAAGTAAAAATAGTATACAAAATAAATCTTAATTTAAAAATATTACAACAACTTACAACCATTTCATTCTACATTATTTTAGTTTTTTTAATTAATCGGTTAGCACGTTTAAAACTTATGTTTATGCCCAGCTAATACTCACATCCAGTTTTCGCAGTTGTGGCGTGTTCAAGAACTTGTTGACCACTCCCTCGTTGGAGGCACTGCCCGAACCACTGCCACTTCCACTGCCGCTTCCGCTGCCCGTTTTCAGTTTCGGCAATGTGCCAGTTGAAAGGGGACCGGCTGGCGCCGTTGGAATCTCCTGAGCACGCGATGGCACCGAAGTCAGTGCTGGCGGAGCAGTGGGTTTCACTCCATCGGTGGCCGTGGGCGTGGCATGGCGAGACCAACTATAATGCTGCTTTCTGTATTGCGGCGTATACGAATTAAAACTGCCAAAAACGGGAGTGTCATCCGTGTCGTCCGTATCCTCGCCGCCCAGATCATGGTTATAGCGATCCATGCGAGCTATTTGAAAGTAAAGATAGTTTGTTAAATTATATTTAATATTTTTATCTAGTGTTCAGCTTACTGTCAAAATAACTAGTATCATCATCATGCGACAACTGCGGCACAAACTCCGCCTTTTGGCGGAGCAGCGAATTCCAATCCATGCCCAGAAAATACTCGTGCTCCTTCATCTCAAGCGCTCCCGTTTGGGTGCCCAAACGATCGCGCGGATTCTGCTGCAGCAGTTGCGAAATGATGTCCTTTGCTTCCGGTTGCACTGGCCAATCCTCGCTGTCCGGCCATTCGATGTCATCGTTGACAGTGTGCGCAAACAGCTCCTCAGTGGTCTCGCCAAAGAACGGAACACAACCGATGAGAAACTCGTAGAGTATAATGCCCATGGACCACCAGTCGACTGGTTTGCCATAGCCCTGGCGTAGGATCACCTCGGGAGCAATGTACTCCGGAGTGCCATAAACCTAAAACAAGAAAAGCAATCAGTAAATAAGTTTTAAAGTTAAGCCTTTATTGAATACCTGTTTGTCGGAAAACTGCCTGGTCTCCGAGTCGATGTATCCCTCGTACAGATTGGTGGCCAACGACATTAGGCCCATCTTGGAGAGGCCAAAGTCGGTGAGCTTGATGTGACCCAAGGCGGTAATGAGTAGATTGTCCGGCTTCAGGTCGCGGTGCACGATGCCGTAGCTGTGCAGATACTCTACGGCTAATACTGTCTCGGCGAAATAGAAGCGGGCCATGTCCGCGGGCAGTGGCCCGATGTTCTTCAGCAGCGTGCCGCAATCGCCGCCCTCCACGTACTCCATCACCAGGCACAGGTGCTTCTTCGTCTCGAACGAACAGTACATGCTGACCACAAAGGGATTGTCGGCGAACGAGAGGATGTCGCGCTCGGCAAAAACCTGCTCCACTTGATTCCGAAGAATGAGATTATTTTTGTTAATTTTCTTCATGGCGAAGCGTTGACGTGTGGTCTTGTGCTTCACCAGGTAGACGGCTCCGTAAGCACCATTTGAGATCAGCTTGACGATGTCAAAGTCGTTTTCGTGGGGTGAGGGTTGTTGTGCCACCGCTCCTGTTCCTGCCGCTCCTCCTCCTTCTCCTCCAGTTATTCCTCCAGCTACAGCAGCTCCTGTTCCCGCCACACTCGAACCTGCGGCAACTGCACTTCCACTTCCACCAGCTGTTCCCGCTCGCTCCTCATTCATCTGACTGATGGCCAGCGCAAAAGTAGGAGCTGTCTCGCTCGTGGCCACCGGTGTCTGCGGAGGCTGTTGTGGAGTGACGGTGCCACTTCCCGAGTCCAAGGCAATCGAATCCAGAGCCAGGCTGCTCAACTGTTTGGCTGCACTGGTAAGCGGTGAGTTGAGGAGCAAACTGCCACTTGGCTGCAGTGGGTCCGCATCCACGGTGACCTGCTCCGAGCACATCTGCTGTGTTTCGCGCAACTCCTGCTGCAGTTCGGCAATGGGATCGCGATTGAGGCCCAGCTTGTGGATGATGTACTGCGGAATGTCTGCCTTGATCACCGGCATGGCCTTGGCGTGACCCTCGGCGGCCTCCAACAGCTCGTAGAACTCCTGCGGGTCAAATTCCAGGCACTCCAGCAACCGCGCTGGTCGCGAGATAATCAACAACAGCTTTTTAATCACACCATTCAGCTCGGCTGCCGCCTCCGGCGACTTCTCCTTGGTCTCGACCAGCAAACGCTCAAGATTCTCACTCAACTCGTAGAAATACTGCGAGGTTATCAACTTGGCCTCCGATTTGTGCAGGCAATCCCTTGCCATTTCCAATACCTGATGATGCACAAAGCTGAGGGAGAAAAGGGGTTTAGTTTTGCAATCAACTATATGAGGTTTAAAGTGTTTGAATTTAATTTATTTTATATACTTATTGAAATAAAAAATAAGTTGACTTACCGTACAATCGGTTGCGAATCTCTGAAGCTGTTGCATGCAGCACTCTTGTTCTCGTTGATGAAGTGCTTCAGCCGCTCCTCCATTTGCTGGGTTGCCTTGGGAAAGCGCTCCTTGTACAGGGTGTTCATCACGGCAATCTCATTGTCCACGATCGGCGAACGCGATGGACTGGACAGCGATCGAGAGCGCGGCCGAAAGAAGGGCGACATTCGGCCTCCAACTTGCATCGCACTCGAGGCGGAGCTATTGGCAGAGGGTCCTCCGTTTCCACCACTTCCACCAGGCTGACCACCGCAAGCCAAGCTCAATTCAGCGCAGCAATTGACGCAAGGCGCTGGCATCAGTTTCTGCGTTGGCTGCAGCTTTGGTGGCTGGGGCGTCAATTGCTTCTGCGAAACGGCCAGCAACAGAGCGCAGTGCTTGGGACAATGCTGCTTGAGGTGCTCGGCACAACAGGCGCCGGCGGCCACGGCAGCGGCATCCGCCTCCTGGACTCCGGCCGGAATGTTGTGCGCTAGCTGGTTGAGTCCCTCCTGACTCGAGCACTGAGACTAAAGTAAAATAATGCATTAAATAGATGCACAATGAATACATGGATCAACCTACCGATAAATTGGAGCTGCCCGGGGTGGTGCCGTATCCGGAGGAGGGCAGGGATGCCACTGACCAGCGACGACCGTCTACAACGCCCCGGCAGGAGGCGATCCTCTTGATGGGAGCAAATGCAAATGGCATGGGTGAATTGAGACGCGGACTGTCCACGGGACTGGCCGAGTAGGGGGAATGGGCCCGAGATCCGCCAGCAGCAGCCACGACAGCCGCATTCGTCACCAAGCTAAGACGATGGTGAGCCACTCCGCTCGAAGAGCCGCCAGAGGAACCGGCACCACCGCCCGCCGATCCTCGCATCACAACGCCGTGCAAATGATGGTGATGATGGTGCTTGGCCAGGCCAATTCCTGCACAGCTGCCCGACCGCGAGATGTTGTGGCCGCCCGAAGTGGACGCCCCAAAGCCAGGCGCCTGAATCGGAGGCGGAACCTGCAGTTCGTGGCGGAAATAGTTGCCCGTGAGACAGGGAGCCGACTTTCCCAGCGAGGAGTGACGCATGCGCAGCAGGTTGGAGGCCTCTGAAATTAATAATAATCATAATAATTAATAACTGAATACAACAAATTGTTTATTTACGAAGCCACATAATTTTAGTGGGATCAAGTAGCATCTTACAGAAGATTGTAACTAATAAAATGTTGCCTAACTGTTAAGGTAATCTAATCTGGTAAATATTGTTATACAAATAAACAACTAGTTACTAATATCCTGGTTTGTGGACTTATGTCAAAATATTTACAAAGATTATTATAAAAATCAATACAAATAATTATGTCTTATTTCCCAAAAGTCGTAGTTTTTTTTAGGAAAGGAAAAAAACATATATCAATTTAAATCGGAAGACGTGGTAATAAAAGCTTACGAGGACAGCCAGACAAACGTGATTAGTACAATATAGGTGTCAATCTTGGGGTGTTAATTACGGCAGAATTCACAGTTTACTGTACGGATAAAAATAGCTTGTAAACATGCGCTCTTAGCACAAAAAGCTAATTTTATAGTCAGTTTGATTAAAAATAACAAATGGAAGTTAAACTCGAACTTGTTACGTTTTTAAAATAAATAGGTATTATTTCAAATGGGATAAAGTCTACCAATCTCTTTTAAAATCAAGACAGGGAAACTTGATTCCTGAATAATCCTTTTAATTTCTTACCACTGCTAACTGCTCGCAGCGAGTTGGTGTGCTGCTGGTAGGAAATCTTCCGGAGCAGGGCGGTGTATCCGCGCGAGTGCAGCGAGCTGGAACTTCCGGAAAGACCGCCGGACGAGCTCTTGGTCAGATTTAGATTTCGCATCATCGAGGAGCCGTTGGTGCTGTCGTTGCCGATGGAAAGTTTGGCCGGCGAGGTGGGCAGCAACTCCAATCCGCTGCAGGACTTGACGCTGCTGTTGCAGGAGGACGTGGCGGCGGCCAGAGCTGCTGCGGCGGCAGCTGCCTCCTGATCGGAGTCGTCAAAGATGAGAACCCTCGCCGAGTAGCTCGACTGCGGACGAATCCGCGACAGACTGGCGGTGCTCAAGTGGCGCTTGGCCACCGGACTGCCGCTCATGGTGGCCGCCGTGGTGCCGCTGCCGCTGTCTGCGGACACGGAACCCGAAATGGACATGGCCTCGATCTCGCTGGCCACGCTCTGGTTGATGAACTCCTGCTCCTGCTGATCGTCGCCCTTCTGCGGCGTCGAGGTGGATATCTTGCTGCCCAGGGCAGCGCTCACTGAGTGGGATGATGAGGTCGATGTCGATGAGGATGACGATGTGGCTGGGCCGGCAGCTCCCTTGGCTGGACGGGATGCAGCTGAAGCTGCTGCTGCAGCAGCTCCCTCCTGGCGACTCATGATCGGGCTGGGATCTCGCTCTCTGATCTTAGCAGGATCGCATGTTGTTGTTAGTCTGCGGGGTGTTGTTGCTTCGGCTTTTGGGCATGGCGTCGGCAGCTGCAATAAGAACAATTAATTAGCATGCGGCTGGCAAACCGTCTCCCCGTTAACAGTTAACAGTCTCCAGCAGTTGACTTCCCATCCCCAGACACTGGCAATTGTTTTCACACACAAACCCCTGGCTAATTAATCTCGTTGAGTTGTCACTTTGCACGAGCCGAGCAGCACAAAAAAATTAAAATAAATATATAAATCGGTTAAAAATGGGATCGAAAGAAATTAATACGTATTACTCTCATATATGTATTCGACGTATACGGGAAGCGCTCGCCCACTTGGTTTTGGGATGAAAATCCACACTGAGCAAATGCCGGGCATGTTGAATCACAATGTCGCAACGTAAAAAGGGTGACACGGAAATCTTTTCCTCCAAAAATTGAAAGTCCGCTGAATCAGAAAACTATTTTGGCTGCCTGGCAAACCTTTGTTTCTTGTCAAAAGATTCAATAAAATATACCTAGGTGCATTTCTTGAAGGCTTATCGTCTGCATACAAGTAAATATTGTTTACCTAAGTACTTTATCATCTTTCTAAAACAAATTTTCATGGAAGTAACATTACATTATATTAAAACCAACTAAGCTGACAGTTGCACACCTATTTACAATACATAAAAGATTTACAATATTTCCATTGGAATTTTCTCAAGTTCACATAACATTACATTTCGTAAACTTACAATATCCAAAATAATTTTTTTATTTCGTTCAAGAACAAGGTCGCTTGTTTTATTTTTGTAATTGTGTTCAATAATTTTTGAAAAATCTCTGTATATATGCATCTATAAAATTTTAATAATGTTCAAAAATTCAATATCTTTAATTACTTAAATCACCTTAGGATGTTCAAAGTTATTATATTAAAACACAATTTTCTGTAGGTCCTTACAGTTATCTTTAGTTCAGCTTCAAAAAAACTTACTTTGACTTAAGTGGTCTTAAGTTAAATTACTTAAAATGCAAGCCAAGAAACACAGTTTCTCGTGTTTCATTGTTTGCCCTTTTCTCTGGTCTTAAAAAAGGCCACTAAATTATCGGATTATCTGCAGGTGAGGATTGCGGTGGAATGGGGCTACAGATATATAAGCTTTACGACACGATCGTAAATGGTGCTCCAGGGTCTCATAGACGTTGTCGTAGTCCGACTTCTGTGGTTATCAGTTGGCAGTTGGCGTTTGTTTTCGTTTCGTTTATTTTTGTGTGTTTAGTGGCATTTATTCACACAATACGCACACACGGACGGCCGACTAGGCGTATATTTGTTTAAATTTCGCCCACTCGAGGCGAGACGCGCGAGTTATTCACATGATAATTGGATTCGCAAATGCGACCACTGCTGTGTTTGCACAGATTTGATTATATTGTATAGAACCCCAGACCGAAAAAAAATAAGAGAAAACCAAGGGCAAAGGATTTTCGACTCGAAATTAATTATGGCCAAACGAAACAACAACATCAACGAGTGAGACATACAGGGGGCTTGCATGGGTGTATGCGTGTGTCGGTGAGTTGGGGCTCCTTCGCCGCCCACACTCTTACACAGTCACACTCAGACGTTGCGATTACGGGGTTTTTGGTACAATCAATTGCTTATTTTTCTCCTTTACATCGCTTAACACTTGATTTGTTAATTTACATTTTATACGCAGCATTGGCACTGGAGCTGACACACACACTCGCGTGCCTAGCACGCGATTTAAGGGGTATTATTAAATATTTTTAACAGCGAAAAATCGTTGTAACAATATCAATCAGCCGAACGGTCACACAACTAGCGATGACACAAAAAGCTGGGCAACTTATCGAAGGTCACGAAAGTGATGGACTTGAAATCTCAACATTGATTTGTGAATGGCGGGTGTTTCAAAAGTTAAGCAAATTAAAGAAACCGTAAGATAAATTTGTAAAATGTGATAAAAATCTTGTTTGAAACAATTAGAATCTTTTTTTCGAAGTTGTATTGGAATTAAAGCTACTAATAATGTTTATACAAAAGTCAAAAGGAAACGGTACTTTTCAGTGTGACCGAAGACAATAAATACTATTTAACAGTTTTCTAAGGAATATTATTTAATTAAAAATCATTTTCTCCTGTTATTAAATTAAGAAACCTAAAACCATGAACAACCTTTACCTGTTTAAATTTTCAACAAGAATAAGTACCGATTTATGCCAAAGATTGAAAGTTTTCTAGAGTAATTCTAGAGTACTTTAAAGATCATACATATCTTAGAGAAGTATTTACTAAAATAATACCAGGTGAAAAACCGCTTTTGCAAAATCAAATTTTTTTGTCATAAGATAAAACTTGCTTTAGTTTACAATATTTTAAATTAGGATTGCATTGTTAGCACTACAAATAAAAAAATCCAATAATAAAAACGGATAAACTAATAGTTGTGCACCTTCTTCAAAGTCTTTCTTAATAAATCGAATGCTGGTCAATGGTACATTTACTATCTTTATTTATTTATTACGATGCTTTTATAGAGAAAATGTAAATTTACCGGCCTTGCTTAGAATCTCCGTTATTTAGAATAATCAGAATAAAAGCAAATCTATCATTAATGAGAATACAATACAGTGTAACAATTCGTTAGCCATAGTTCATGTTTGTACTGTGCGAGGTCTGGTAGGCGCTGGATATGTTCTTCTGGGAGCTGGAGCTCGCGTTCGACTGCTGCTGGAAGCCGGATCCCGGAGAGGAATCCTCCTTGAGATGATTGTTTTCCTGGCACCACTCGACGAAGTCGTCGATAAGCACTGGCCAAGCACCCTCCGAATCGTAGTTGCTCATCCGATCATCGATGTTGGTGGCAAAATCCAGCAGCAGGTTCCAGGTGTCTCGCGAGATGGCCCGCTTGTGCTTCTCCTCGAGGAACTGGCACCAGATATCCAAGAACTTAAAGCGCCCGCTCAGAACGATGCACCAGTAAGCGATGGCCATGTCCAGGTCAATACCCTTTTGCCCCGGATCCTTGGCGTAGTTGAAGGTGAAGTGGTAGAAATCCTTGAACTTGCTGGCATCGTTCAGCTCCTGCTCGAGGATGGGCAACTTCGTCTTCAGCTTATCGATGCTATCGATACCAAGATCGCACATCCCATTGATGAACTCATCCCGTGAGAACTCGCACTGCACCTCGGCGTGGAACTTCCACGCAATAATCAGCACCAGTTTGGAGTCCGGCTTAAGGTCCAGATCTTCCAGGAAATGGATAACGCCCTGCGATCCGATCTTCAGTGGGTCACTGGGATCGCGATACCGCACGAACAACTGTTCGATGCGTTTGCGATCCAGCTCCCGGTAGTAGTACTCCGGATTCTGGAAGTAATTATCACTGGCTAGGTCCAGTTTCCAGTCGTTCTGTTGCAGACAGAAAATGGCCGTGTGTTCGCCCGTTTGTGTCAGCGATATGAACTTCCTCACCTTCTCACGGTGCTGGCTGGATTTCAATTTGTTCTGCAAATTATTAAAATCATGATTAACTAAGGAGTAAATATTGTGCGATAGTATGCAAGTTTTGGGGCGTAGATATTTGGCAGGGAAGAAATGTTTTTGTCTAAAATTGTTATAAAAAGAACCACTTTAAGAAAAGTTATCACATCATCTGGTTTTTGAATCATAGAGGCAAAGCAGACTACATGTAGGGTGCTGAGCACCGTGTACCTGAACGTCAGATTAACCTGACTATACGATTATAGCGTTCTTTATTGTTTACTAAAGATTTTGCTGCCCAGGCGAATTGCATAAATACAGCAACAACAACTAGTATGCCCAAGCTGGCGCTGCAAGAAGAAGAAGAAGACGCAGTGGATAGGAAAATAGAGCGTTTTCTCCACTTTCTCCCGGAGTCTCTTTGCTTTTCAACTTAGCCCTCACAGCTTGGGATACCGTTTAGCCTTGTACTTACCATTGTTGTGGCAATAATTGGTTATTATTTGTTTATTTTACGGGGCAAAACTTTGTTGGAAAACGTCCCAACTGCGGAGCGCAGGTGTTGGAAAACGTCGGTTGTTTGCCTGCCGATTAGCTAAACCCAATCGCGTTATTCCTTTTTGTTTAATTTGCATAATAATAAACCGTGTATGGTAATGTTTGAGCAAGTTAGAGATAATGCAATACTTTTTAAGATTTTTACTATGAAGTATTTATTTTGTTTTATTCACTGTCATATGACCTTTACTTGACTGATAAAGTATACCAGACAATTCTGAAAAAAATATATCAATACATAAGGGGAACTGATAGCATAAAAAGAACGAAATTTTTTTAAAAAAGTTAAATGAGAGTCGTAAAAATTTAAAAGTTTTATATTCAAAATTTTCATATATACATGAGTAATACCAAAACAAAGTGACAGAAAGGCCAAAAACTACCTATCATTCATGTATAAGGTAGTCAAGCTTCATATAACATTTTCAGAACCAGTTTTTATTTTCGGAAATATTTATTTATTTAAATTATTAATGGTATTAAAATAAAATAAAAAGTTTAACATTTTACCGGCAGTGGAAACACATCTGAAACCGATAACTTTCTCCCGCGTTAGTGGAAACGCACCAAACTCAAGCCACATCTGATTCACTATTGATTTTTTAACAACAAAGCAGAGTCTCTGACAAACAAAAAAAAAAACGCAAATTGGGAGTGTAGAAATTGACGGGCCCGGGATGACGAGATGCACATTAGTACTGGGGCTCCTGTTAGCCTTCGGCAACTTGATCCACGCCAGTGATATCACGGACAAGGTGTTTGCTGACATCAAAGAGGGAATTGTGGCAGCATTTGGGGATTTTAATTCCGACGAACTAACGGATGTCTTTGTGATTCGCGACGATATGAAGACGTTGCAGATACTCTATGGTAAGCATTTAGTGGTACAGCACCTTTCTTGGCGTTTTCACTACCGTTTTTCTATAGGGCACTACACCGAGCCTCTGCTGATGGTTGGTCCCTACTGCCAATACGGAGGAAAGACCATTGTCAGTGTGATTCCCGGGGACTTCGACGGTGACGCATTGATGGACGTGCTGGTTAACCTAAAGGGTTCGCAGCCGAACACCTACGAGGTGCACGTCAACTGGGGCAACACCACCGAACTGAAGTGCTCCAAGGAGCCGCTCTTCAGCAGCAAAGGCGAAGTTATGGCCTTGGATTCCAATCGCGACATGATCATCGATTTGTACGGCTTGGCCGATGATACACGTACCTTCTGGATTTTCAACAGCAGCAGGCTCCCGCCAAGTCCCATCCATCAGGAGGAGCCCACCGAGATCAAGGGCAACTCGCTGAGCATACCGAATGCCAATGCCTATCTAGATCTGAATGAGGACTTCCTGGCCGATCTGTTCCTGCAGACGGAGACCTCCTACGAAGTTTGGTACGGCATTAACGAGAAGGACAAGAAGGAGAACTTTAGCTTCAAGTATGAGATAAAGTTCCAGCCCATCGGAGGCACTGACTACCACATCGGGCAAGCCGTTTTCATGGACTTTGAGCTAAAGGGCGTGCAGAATATTGTAGTGCCCTTCTGCATTCACTCGAATTGCCGAAACTCTTCGATCATGGTGCATGATGGCACTGATTTTCGGAATCTGCATGTCAACTTTCGCGATCCGCAGGGCATCACGTGGGCCTTTGTGCCGCCCGTTTCGGAAGATGTTTACCTGAGGACCATAACGGCGAGAAGCGGTGACTTCAATTTGGATGGCTATCCGGATTTGCTGGTCACGCTGCAACCGCTAAATGTGGAAAAACCAGTGACGCAGACCTTCCTCCTGGAGAACGTGCCTTGCACGACGTGCAATAAGCCGCTAAAGCGCACCTTCGAGGTGCGTTGGGGCGCTCTTTCGCCAATGGGCAACAATACAGTGGCCGGGGCTTTCTACGACTTTTACCAAGACGGTGTGCTCGATGTGATCCTCATCCGGAAGAATGCGCAAGGCAAATACCAACCACTGGCTTTCCGAAACACCCTCGACTACGATGCGAATTTTGTAAAGGTGATTGTGCTGACTGGTTTGGACAACAAGCAGAATCCGGAACGACGCACTCCATTGGGACGAAAGAAGCGAACTTATGGAACTAATTTACCGGGTCCCCGAATCACCTACAGCACGACCACACAGGATGGGGATCAGCAGTGTGGGAGCAGTGTGCAATTACCGCAGGCCTCCTATTTTGCACTCCAACTGCCGTACACATGCTTTGGTTTGGGCCGCACGCCGAATTTTGTTGATCAACTGACAGTTGGACTGGGCAGCAAGCTGCGTAACTGGACACAGCTCATACCCAACTCGCAGATCATTGTTGTGCCAAAGCCGCTAGACGAACCATCGCACTGGAAGGCCCAGCTCTTCGTTACGCCGAGCAAACTGATTCTGATGAGCGTCGTGGCGCTGGGCGGCACCTGCCTGGTCATCGTCTTTATTATTCTGGTGCTGTACATTAAAGAGAAGCGCGAGGATAAGCAGGAGCGTCTGCAAGAATCCCATAAATTCCATTTCGATGCAATGTAAGATCCCCAAATATTTGTAAACTAAGCAATCTTTTTCTTTTCCCCAAGTTTAATATTTGATATTTATTTAACGTTAATTAATATGCCAAAATGAGGACTCCCGCCTGTTGATTACACTATAAGCTTTCTCATCTCATTGACGCCTTGAATTGCCCAAAACAGATTGTAAAAAGTATTAATTAATTGGCGGGGAATGCGCCACATCTCTTGAAATACAAGCTTTTTTGCAATCGACAGACGGTGTCTCTCTCATCTGGTATACATATGTATATGGTTTAACAAATGTGATAATATAAAAGCGAAAAAAATAATGTTTTAGAGAGTATTCCTCTTAGACAAAGTACATGGGGTTTGTTTTCATAAATTCGGGCACAATCTTGCGCTTCTCGTACTCCTTCTTCAGATCCATGAACCTATTGGAGCTGCAACACAGAAAAGGGATTTAAAAAGAGGAATAATTAAATCAAAACCATGACCTACCCCGTGAGATAAACGCGGCCGCGTGCTGCCACCAAATGAGCCAAGTACGCCGGAGCCGGATACGAAACCGAGCGATTGCAGCGCGGAAACATGTGGCAGAGGTTGTACGTTAGCTGCTGCAGCAAGTCGATGTCCAAATTGCCAGTGTTCTCGATCACATTGTAGCGAGTCGGCTTGGCCGTGCCCTGAATGGACTGGTGGCTGACCATGAAGAACTGCATTTCGTTGGGATGCACGATGGTGCGATCGACCACGGTTCCAGGATCCACATTGTTAAACTTGTTGAACTGCGAAGGCTCGCCGTTCGGGAAGAAACGAGTGTGGTGACGCTTCACAACGATCACACAGCAGATCTTGGGCTTGATGCCCACCTACAAAATTTGAATCAACATGGTGTTTTTTTCTTTCTTTATAGCAACAAACCGACCTTGGCACAGGCTGCATTAATGCCCCGCAGCTCCTCGTTCTTGATCTTTGGGAACTGGCCATCGCTCACGCCATCTCGATAGTATAGAATGTGCTCCGGATATCTCTTGCGATACTGGTGATAAACACGCAAGTGCTCCGATGTTATCGACAGCATGTCCTCGATCTCCTCCAGAGCGGATCGCTGCAGGCGATACTGCATGTTGTAGGAGGCGCCATAGGGGTCATGGGAAGCTGCCACGCCAACCACACTTGGAATTTCACGTTGGTCAGGCGACGGATGGGTCACATCGGCGCCCAAATACATCACGTTCTCAATCATTTTCAGACCCGCATCCTCCTTGAGCTTGTGATTAATGCCATTTAACTTGGAGTTGACCTTGAGCAGTATGTTTCCAATGGTCTGCGGATTCAGCTTCCGCTCCACGGTGAACTGCTTAATGCACTGTGTAAGAATGCCGTGCTGGAGCTCAGCCTTTTGCTTAACGACATCGTATGAGGCGCCCGAACCTCTGTTTACAAACTTAGGTAAAATAACAAATGCCAAATCGAACTGGTTGCGCTTAAGATCAGCAAAACATTCGTCCAGGTGGAATTCGTCCCTGAACGTCCTTATCTCTGCCTTGGGTGCCAGACTCACGTTCAGAATCTTGCTCTGACTGAACATTTGGCGCTCAAAGTCGCTAACCTGATTGTAATGCATCTTGCCTTGCGGCGCTTCGCAGTACACAATAGCCCACGTGTGGGCCTTGGGCTTAGGCTCTAGGAAGCTCAGGTTATCCATGCGCCACGAACCATTTCTAACCGACGAGAACCTTTTGCCTTGGTATTCCAACTGTGGTGGATTTAGGGTACGAGTGTGTACCACAATGAAGTCGCCGGCGATGCGGATGCCAAAGCGACTGATGGTTGGATCCAGGTTGTGCTGGAAGAAGTTCAGCAAGTTCATTATCTTCCTTTTCCGCTCGTTCGTTGATGTGGCTGCAAACTTGATCATAGCGGCCACCTGAGTGGCATCATCTTTGCGCTAAAAAAACAAAATGTAGAAGAATATTATTAAGACACAGTGGAATTGAGGAACTTTATATGGAAAAAGTTTGTGATTAGGAACACTAACAGTAATGCACTTAAAATTAATTATTAAAAATTAAAAACTTCATATTCAGTTGAAATAAAATAATAAAGATCAAATAAAGAAACTCACATTAAGGGCCTGACCCGGCTCAATGGCGCATAGCTCGACGGGCACCATTATATCCTTAGCAGGAGGACCAACGGACAGGCAGTGAAGATTGGGAAACTGCAACTTGTAATTGCGAGCCTTGAAATAGTTCTCAATTGTTATACTGTGGCCCTCGTGCTCGAAGGTCTGGGTGCTGGCTGGGTTGCGAGACAAGCCATTAACTTTGAAGACCCTCGGAGCAGAGGCGAATGACTTGGGCGGTGTGTAAACCACATTGATACCCCTAAGGAACGGCTCAATAAAGCGCCTAGACTGATCCAGATTGGTATTGTTGTTAATTTTTGATCGCAAGCCATACACTTCCAGGTATTCCATCACCGGCATGGAAATTGGAAAGGATTTGTGCGATATGTCGACATTCATGAACGGTCGGTCGCCAAGCATGAAGGCCTGATACAAGCCGACCAGGGCCTCGTAGCCATCGCCCAGATCAAAACGCTGACCAGGCTCGGACATCTTAAAGAACGAACGACCCGATCGAATGGCCTTGTTGTGGCAGGGAGCGGCCATCACCACTTCCATGCACTGAATGGCCCGCATGGGCTTGTCAAAAATCCTACTGGTCATATAGCTGCAAAGCACGTTTTACAATATTTATATATATTTAATATCTTATACTTCTTACTTCGTCAGCGATTTCATATCGATTTCCGAGTCGGCAGTCTCCTTGATCTCCACCGTGTAACGCAGAGTGCGCCCGTTACGATCGGTAACCTGGAAGGCATTGCGATAGAGAGGAAGATCATTAGGGGGAAAATGAATTATTAATTCGAATTTGAATAACTAATATGAATATTACATGCAACAAATATTCAGGTAAGATCATGACCATGCCAAGTACCTTTGTACTTTGAATAATTTTTCTTAAACTTACAGTCACTTCCGAGTTCTGCGTTTTTAATGGCAGCTTGTCGACCGAGTAGCAGGATGCCCTGCCATCATAGGCGGCAACTGCACCGCCCAATTGATTCGCGCAAAACTGTTCGAATGCCTGCCTGTAAAACTTTTTGGGCCGCTCGGGCATGATCTTGACATCATAGTGATAGGCCTTATCTCGCATTTTGCTCATGTCTATGTCCAGATAGTTCACGGCCACCTGGCCGGGTCTGCCGATGGTTCCCCTCTTGATGCTGCCCGCTGGCTGTGCCGGCAATGGAGCAAATGTTTGTTGTTGGGGACGTTGTTGGTAGCCACCTTGCTGCCCCGGAGGACCACCTTGTTGTCCTTGTTGACGTTGCTGGTAGCCACCTTGCTGTCCTTGTGGACGTTGCTGGTAGCCTCCTTGCTGTCCTTGTGGACGTTGCTGGTAACCACCTTGCTGTCCCGGTGGACCCCCTTGTTGTCCTTGTTGACGTTGCTGGTAGCCACCTTGCTGTCCTTGTGGACGTTGCTGGTAGCCTCCTTGCTGTCCTTGTGGACGTTGCTGGTAACCACCTTGCTGTCCCGGTGGACCACCTTGTTGTCCTTGTTGACGTTGCTGGTAGCCACCTTGCTGTCCTTGTGGACGTTGCTGGTATCCTCCTTGCTGTCCTTGAGAACCTCCTTGTCCTTGCTGTCCTTGTGGACTTTGCTGGTAACCACCTTGCTGTCCCGGTGGACCACGTTGTTGTCCCTGTGGACGTTGCTGGTAGCCTCCTTGCTGTCCCTGTGGACCACCTTGTTGTCCTTGAGGACGTTGCTGGTAGCCTCCCTGCTGTCCCTGTTGACCACCTTGTCCTTGTGGACGTTGCTGCTGGCCACCCCATCCTTGGCTGCCTTGGGCCTTCTGCTGTGAACCGCCCTGCTTCTGCCATCCTCCTCCGCCTTGTTGGCCACCAGAGCCAGATGCCCCAGAGCTGGTGGATGGCTGTTGTCTTCCCGCCTGTTGGCCTGCTGCACCTGCTGTGGGTTTTAAAATCGTATTTAAAAACAATCAAAATATGAGAAAAAATTTGCATCTGTTTTACATTTTATTGGTTAAAGAAAAATTTAGTCAGTTTTTGGATATGGTTTCGATACGACTCCCTTACTCCGACGCTAAAATATAGGATTTTATATTTGATAACACCCAAAGGGAAATAATTTACTTAAACTATTTCATTTTGATGCACTTAAAATTCAATCGATTTTTAATTTAGACTTTACAATGAAGCTAGTCGCATTTCAACTTTCCTTCGTTATCACATGTATATGTTTGTGTGTATATACGTATGTATATGTATTAGCAAACGCATTTCACCAATACAGGTTACGGCCCAAGTATTTCATCATAGGTACATTGAATGCGGTGAGTCCCCGGAAATCAGATACTTTTGAAATTTACCACTGTCTCTCCCCTAAAAACATAATTTTTCCATGCCTTTAAGTGTCACAGTGTTTTTGTAATTTCAATAATTTAGTAAATATCCTAATACACATACATTTTTCTTGCATTCGTCGACAAATTGCAGTAAATTGCACTCACCTTGTGGTTGCTGTTGTTGTTGCGGTGCAGAAGATGAAGGCTTCTCTTCCTCTTGCTTAAACTCTGGATTTGAAGTTTAAAATTTGAACATGCTATATACTTATTTAAGTATGTGGGGCAACTCACTATTTTTCCTTCCCATCTTGGATTTTTTCAACAATTTAGTTTAAATATCTTCCGAATTTGCTCTGTTGTTCTTTGTTTTTGTCAATGTGACCAGATACCAAAACAAATTCCCTATAATACTAAAATAAAGTATTCCCTAAATTTGCCTAGAAGGAATTTTATTAATGGTAAAAAATTGGTTGGGACGCCAGCTTTGAATGCTTTTGAAAAAGAAATTGTGCGCTCTTTACTTTTGAAAAAATTTGTAATTAAGAAAAGTAACTCTTTTTTATGTTTTTTAATGCTCCACTAATTCATCAACCCCAAACTAAAATGAACTCTCTTGACACAAAAAACAAATGCTGCTTGTTTAATAGCTTGATAAGTATATACATACAATCTATACGGTTTGTTTTTGATCAATAATATTTTTTATTTTGTTAATAAAATATAATATTTAAGAGTTTAATCCCAAAATAAAACACGCAGATTGCTGCTGTTGTTATGGTTGTATGAATTTTATTTGGAATTGCACTTTTACTTTTGCCAAATTACAGCAACCAATCATAAAAGTTTTACAATTTTTTTGGATATATTTTCTCTTTTTTTCCTCAACGTTAAATATACAATATATGCGTTTAAAATGCTATAGCCAAAAAATAGTATATAGTCGTACATTATTTATATCTTTTTATATAAATATATCATAATGTATTTAATTTGTTTGTTTAACGCATTTAATAATAAATTTTTTTGTCATTGCACAAACGTTTTGTTTTTCAACTTCGATTCTTTCGTTATCGCTTTTTCTCTAAATATCTTTCTTTAAAAATTTTACTAACAATTGCACAACTTCGTCCGATTGATTTATCAACACATGCACAGACATACATAAAAAAGCTAAATTATTTCGTATTTATATCGATTTTATGAGTAACCATCAAGTTACGCTTAAAATGTTCTTTAAGTAATTTTGTTTATATAAATTCAACTAATTTAAACTAGAATGACTCATTCAGAACGCTGCGGAAAGAATACAAAAATATCATTATAAATATTTATGCCAAAAATTGCACTAAAACGTAAAACTCAAATGTAAACATAAAAAACAAAATAATTGCTGCGAAATTTGATTGAATTGGGGGTTGGCTCTCTATCCCTTCGGTTAGTGCAGCGCTGTCTTATAATGTAAAACTTAACAAACAATAATTCATTTTCATAATTGGCTCGGAAATTGTTTAAATCGCCCGTGCAACGCGGCAGGTGGAGAACGGAATCGAATATTTCGAATTCGTGGGATACCGATATCCATTTTAAATTCGTACATTTTCCATCGATCGAAGCTCCAACTTGACGGGCTGCTTGGCAAACAGATGATGGAACAGAAACTTAAATGCTGCATATAGACATAGTTCGTTATATAAATCCTTCTACATAGCTACAATATGGAATTGTTTAGGTATTTTCTTCTTCGTTTCAGCTCGTCTCAGCTTTCGTTTGTTTGTTGTTTTTGAGAAATATCGTTTAAAGGAACAAGAGTCATGCCAAAGACAGCACAGAGATTTGGGCTCCGGGAGTCTTTCGTTCATTCATTCAATCATTATTAAAACATAATGTACATGTCGCCGCTCTTAGATCAATTCCAATCTGGATTTAAAAACGAGAGCCCTTTAGCGATCTGCTGTATATCTTATTTTTGTTTTTTTTTCTTCTTTTTAAACTTTTCATTACTTTGCTGTTTTTTTATGTTTTTGTTTTTGGTCTGTTGATTTCGTTTCATTACAATATTATTATTTAGCTTCTCTTTAGACGCTTTCTGGATTGGCTTCTGGTTTTGAGCTTCTCGATTGTAATTTTAATGTTAGTTTTAATTGTAATTGTGGTTCTAGTTGCAGCTGGTCGTTTGCCTACGCTCTAGATCAAGTTTATATAACAGGAATGCATGACTAATATACATAGCTATATAATATAGGTCCTACAAGTAGCTAGGATTACATACACATTAAATATACGGTATTAGTTAGCGGCATTTAGGCAGCTGGGCCTTGTGGAATATATATAATATATATGGAATATATATATATTTTTTAATATATATATATATATTGTGGGTGGTGGTGCGGTGGAGCTGGAGGGAGGGGAATGTTTACCGCTTTGTGCTAACCAAAAGCCGAACAAAAAATTCATCAATTTTCCTCGTCGCATAAATTCTTGAAAAAACTTGAACTCCCAGACGACTGTGATTAAATCGAACAAACAAAAAGACTGAAGACAACATACACATATTAGATCTACAAATAACTCGGGAAGGCGGGCAAACATGAAACGATTCCGTGTCCAGAAATCCCACGATATTCGGGGATCGGGGATCGGGGATCTTTGGACCGGCGGCTTAGGACTTCTTCACATTGTGCTTGCTAACTAGGGCCTGCAGTTTGTGCAGCTGACTAAGTAGATTGGCATTGGTCTCCTCCAGCCCCTCGAGGCGCTTCTTGTAGTCGTGGTTCTCGGTCACCAGGATCTCGACGCGCCGCTCCAGCTGGTCCATGTACTCCTTCTTCTTGCGGCGACTTTCCTGAGCAGAGATCTATTAAATAAATCAAATATTAATAAGATTATATTTGGATCGTTAATTATATTTTTTAAACCTACTTTATTTTTGATTTTGCGTCGAATCTTCTTGAGCGATTTTTCCTCGGCTTTGGTTAGGGGAAGCTTTTGTGGTATCGGATAGCCTTCGGCCAGCAAAGTGCGTTTCTCCTCCTCCGTCAGCAACAGCGTTCCAGTGGAGCCCTTCTGCAATGCCAGAATATATATATTAAATAAGTCATTAATATAATGGAAAAACCAATGATTAATTTGATTATCCCGAACTAAAAGTGCATTCACCTTCTATGAATAATATTTTAATCTTATTATGAATGCCATAAAATAGACTAATTAATAATACCTAATCTCTCTTTCAAGTATTAAATAATAATGTTATAATAACCCAATTTATGGTTGGGTAATTCATTGGAAATAAAGTTTTAATAATTCCAAACTAGTCGAACAAAATATGATTTTTTTGATTTTCATTAATATAATATATACCTACTATATGTAGTGTTTTTTAGTGAGATTGGAATACTCTAGATGGAAATAATATTATACTATATCTATTTGAACTTACCGGCTGCGAGCTGATTAGCGGCGTGTGGATCGGCTGCCTTGTCGTGGTGGCCGTTGTGCTGGAACTGGATCCGGAAACGGATCCCGAACCGGAACCGGAACCAGTGGAGGAGCGCGTGATGCCGGCAGCTGTGCGACTGACCCGAACGGATGACTCAACGCCGCCGGCTGCATTGGCCACGGAGATAGAAACGGAAGCGTTGGGCGACAGGGGCGAAAACAAGTGTTCCGGTGACAAGTTACCTTCGGAATCGTCGCTGGGCAGAGAGGAGGGCGGCGTCAGCGGGATTCCATAGCCGTGCCCATGCGATTTGCTGCCGGAGGAGCTGCTGGTGCTGCTGTTGCTGCTGCTGCTGTTGCTACTGCTGCTCGTGTTCTGCTTCTCGCTCTTGATCTCCATTTTGGCCACGAGCAGATCGCTTTGGCCGAGGAGCTGTCGCTGCTGGGACTTGATGAGGCTGTTGTTGCTGGCGGTCAGCAGGAGGCCACCGTGCTGCGAATGGAAATGAAACAGTTTTTATATCAGGAAGGGCTTGATAAAAATATTCCTATTGGAGAAATTTGTAAGATAAAAAAAAAGACTTGAGAATTATAAGAAAATAAATTCTGTCCTAGAGGACAGTGTTCATAATTCTAACTACTTTTGATGATAAAGATTATTTATGTTCATATTTTAATTTTAAAATGTTTCTATCAAGAAAAATATAAAGAAAATTTTGTTTAATGGCCCAGAAAAAAATTATTATTTAGAAATTCAGTACAATAAGAAAAAAGAAGAATATTATTAAAGATGGTGTTCCTCACGCTTAATGTCTTTTATTCATATCCTTATCATAGCTACATTTTTTATTAACATATTGTTAAAATTCAGGTAATTTTATAAGTTTTCTTTAATTTTCAAATCTATTATTATAGTTTTCGGACAAAATCATAAGGAAACCGATACAAATTAGATCAATATGTAAACCTTAAATGCTGATAATGGTGGACTAAGCTATCGTCAAACTCACCTTCGGCTCGAAGAGCATTTCCGTTTGCAGGTGGGCCATGAGCTGGTGCTGCGAGGTGCTCGCTTGGGAATTGGGACTGGCGGGGCAGCTGGAGTCCGGCGACATGGGCTCATCCTTGATGGCCGACTCGTCGATCTCGATGTCGGAGCAGATGTCCGGGGACATGCTGCCCTCCCGCATCGAGGACACCGACGAGCTGCAATCGTTGTCGTACAAGTGCTGAGGTAGTTGAAAGTGCTCCATGTGGGCCACGACCACGTGGCTCTGGCCATGGCTGCCATGGCTGCCATGGTGTGCCTGCTGCGCCTGCAGCAGTCCGCAGGATCGTGTTGCATCCGCGACGGAGGTGTTTAGGGCGGGATTGCTGCTCAGCCGGCTGATGGGCGTGGCATGCGTGGGCGGGACATGAAGGGTCAGGCACTTGGGGTCGATGGTCACGCGCCCGCTGGTGGCCGTCTTCAGTGAAATGGCGGGAAAGCACTCGTCGTCCATGTCTAAGGAAAACAACAAATTGAAGAAAAAAATATATAAAATATATATCAAATATTCAAACAAAATATTAAATATTTAAAAAAAAAAAAAAAACTTCTATTAAAAACCTTCTTATGCGACACGTCATGCAAATGAAATGTTTATAATACGTAAAGCAACATGGCGTATGATTGATTTAATTTGAAATAAGTTTCTTTTATTTTATTTTTGCATTAATAAATGTGTACAATTTTTTAAAACTAAGACCACGGTTTTTTACAATTTTTACAGTGCTCTCTACTTGTAAATAAAATTGACGTGATTGCCAATTAAATTTCACAAAATTAGAGGTAACAATTAATTTAAAGTTATAACTTTTTTCCAAAATATTTTAGTTGAGAGTTAAGCTTTATAGGATTTTTAAGCATCGAATTTAATTACTATGCCGTGGCTTTCGTCGGTTAAAATTAGTCTCGGTTAGACCAAGTTAATTGTTACCATATTTTCCCAAAAATAATTAGCTCACAGCCGTATTTGCTCTTACCCATTTAGGTTGTTTTTTTTTTTTTTTTGGTAGACAATGACAAGAATCAAATAGAGCAATATGTGCGCAAATATGCTGGCCAAATATTATTGCGTCTAACCCACATTATTATGCAAGAATTTGAGTTCTAGTCTGTAACCAAGCAAACACCTGATGATCACTTTCCTTTTGCCAGCGCACGCGTCAATTGCCCGAGTTGCACTTGTGTTTGCATTTGATATTCTGTTGTTTCAGTTTTTTATACATTTTTTCTGGCAAAACTTAACCCTCCCCCCACTCCCCACTCCCCTCTCAAAACCCCCTAAGCAGCGCCAACTCCAACCACTACACGAAATATTTCGTTTTAATTTTATTTACACAGTTGTCGTACAGTTTCCATAAAATTACAAATAATAACGAAACAAAAACAGAGAAAAAAGCTGAAAAAAAGAGAAGCACAGAACTCTGGCAGGGCAATTATACACAGTTTGACGTTATATGGTACATACGAATATACGAACTGATATCGCGTCAAAGTACAAAACTTCATGCACGAGTACTGCGTTAAATTGCTAAATGCTACCGAGACACTAGAAAACAGAAAACAGAACAGAGCCAGCCTGAAACTGTTTTCCAACTGTTATTCTTGTCAGCGTTGTTTTTAGTGTGTATGTACATGGCCTAAATTAACCAACTGCCAACTGTGTTTGGATTGCTATTTGGGGTTTACAGACAGCCAAAAAAATAATACAAAATGATTAAGCCTACGTCTGGATGCAATTGTTTCAGTTATCGCTAATCGTTCACTTTCAGTCGGAATAGTTTTTCATTTTCCCATACTTTTAACAATTATATATATTTTTTAGTATTTTATAATCACTTCATTATATTAGAGATATGATTCTTACAAAGAAGTATGGAATTAGAAGAATAATTTAACTAAATGTTCTCAGTTTTTATGTATTAATAAGAATAATTTAAATACATGTTCCCAGTTTTATTGTATTAAAATATAAATATAAAGGTTATTAATGCTCAGTTTCTGTTTTGCCAAATGATCGGTCATTTAACCTATATAATCTAAGTACACAGAAAAACAGCACTAATTTTTCATACATATAATATACAAAATATGTGAAAGGCCCTTCAAAATGTGATAAATATAGTTTCGTTTCTTTTTTGAGATACTAATTTCGCTAGCCGTTTTTCCCATGAATTGCTTGGGTTTATGATTTGCCAGACACAAAAAAAGACTATCTGAGGATCTGAGGTTATAGCTGTATACCTGTATATATATGATTTCTGTGATGCACTTACCCTCGATCTTCGCCTGGAGGCTTTTTGGTGAATCGGGCAGGGAGTCAACATCGCTGTTGAGGCTGTAGGAGTGCTCCGTCTTGATCGGCTGTGTGCCATTGAGCAGGGCGTCCGAGATGAGCTTGTCGTTGAGTATGACGGTGGGATCTTTGACGTCCCGATCGAACAGCCAGTCGTGCATATCGTGATCGGGGCTGATTTTCAAGGATTCCTGTAACAGGGCCAAAAAAACAAAACAAAAACAAATTATTAAAAAATACAACAAAACTAATGGAAACAAACAAATGATTTGCAATTAGCAAATGAACAAAAGTCATTCATAGTCGTGTTGCACAGCGATAGCACGCTTATATAATTGAACACAAAAACTGAATGCGAAAAACAAAAGTAAAATTGCCATACCTATATATAATATGTATAATATATACGACCTATGGCTAAATCACACGAGAATCGCACACCCAAAACGCAACGCCATGCAGATAGCTCAAATAATAATAAAAAAAAATCCTATATATATGAAATACTGATTTGATTTGATTTAGAAGGTACATATATAGCGCAGATCCCGACTGGCCGTGCATATTGTGGCCATCCGACGAGGGCCATGCAATATATTTCTGTTGTCAATCTTATCAGAAGACATTTCACCGTCCACCACGATCGCCGATTTGGATTTCAAGGGTACGAAATTCGAAATAAATTGTTGTTGGGCTCGACAATCAGCAGAGAGAGAGCCATTTTTAAGTTATCAATCGTTAAGTCATTACTTTTTGGGGGACTTGCAAATCAGTGGTGGGAATTTTTCAAACCTAGGTGGGGTACAAGGTGTGTATTGCCCAGAAATAATTCTAGGTACTTGAAATTTATTGGGGCTGAGGTAAACGAGAATTAAGATTATAGAAGATTTAATAACTACTTCATTAACTTTAAAGTTAGCGAGTAGTTTATTTAAAAGAATTTTAATTATGAATTTGAAAAGGCTTTTATAAATGTAACTTACAAGAAAAAAATTATTTTTACAATATGCCTGATAATATATAGTATATATAGCGTGATATCCTGAAGGGTTTTCGGATGTGAGCTAACGGTCATTGCCTCTTGTCCCATTAAAGTTGTTAATCGAGTTTTCGGCGCAAGTTGGTTGGCAAATGCTTGGCACAAATCTTAATTAAACCTCGCGTGGAGTGGAGTGTGCAAGAGTGTAATTAATTATAATGAACGAGGCCCAGTGTTAAGTGTTTCGATGCTGTGATGAGCGCAAAAAGCCAACCTTGGAAATCACTCACAATCGCAATCAAATTGGAGAGACGGAGTGCAGCACAAATAACTGAAACCAGTTAGCCGCGTGTTCTATTATTTGCCGCCAAAAGCCAAGAAGAGAAATCAAAACAGCTCCAGAATAAATTTCGGCTGGCATTTTGTTTAAACGCCATAAAGCCACGACCGATGATGTAATCCCGAATGTGCCAGATTTTTGGACTGGATTCGCTTAATTGTCGCCTGGCACAATCTACGGCAATAAATTGCTGACCCATTTAAAGGCGGCATTCTGTGGCAAATATGCACATGGTGGATACAACTATATATTCAACTCACTGACGGTCTGTCTGTCAGTCTGTCTGTCTGTCTGTCTGCGATAAAGAAGTGCATGTAATTACGCTTTAAAAACACATTTGTATGTAAAAAAAAAAAACCCAAGCGAGCCCCACCTCTACAAAGTTCACATTCTAAGCCAAAACCGAATGGAATCCAGTTTTGGCCATAAAAAAAAAGGGAACGTCGACGGCCTAATGTGTGTTGGTTTCTGTCGATATGTAAACAGGTACGATTCTTCCCGATTTTCTTCCAGTCTTCCCGTCTTCGGTTCTTCAGATTCTTCGGGTTCCTCTACCCAAACATTGATTACCGTTTGTATGCGTGCATTTGTAAGTATTTGATTTGTTTATGCAGTACACGAGTTTTAAACCGAGGGTGGTTTAATTACCCAAGTACTAGAAAATTACAAGATTAATCTAAGAAAAGTAGATTTTTGTACTAATTTTAAACTAAAAACCATCTTATGAATACAAAAGCAAATTCTTTCCTGTGTAGTCGGCCTACTTTCAGTTGATTCATTTCCATAAATCATAAACTCTCTAATCATATTAAAGTTGAAAATCATTGACTGACCAAAATTATATTTTTGGAAAAGAAGAAAAAGCCTAAGAAAGATGAGCAAAAGTGTTGGCAAAAATAAACTTTAAAGTGTTACTATTTCAAATTTAAACGAGTTTTGCTTCTCAGAGTTTCAATTTCTTTACGTCAATAAGGTTACATAAAAAGCGGTCTAAATTCGTTATAATTCCGATCTGTGAACTGGTTTTTTGTAAGAATTAAACTTTTCCTAGGAAGGAAAAAATATAATTTATACTTATCATACAAATTGGCAATTACGTATTTATAGTTGGGTAACAGGGCAAAATACCTTATTTTAGGTGAACAAGGTTTTTTGAGGGGAAACCAGTAAAGCTGTACTAATTCTAAGGTTTTTGTTGTATTAGAAAGCCATTATTCATGAATGTATTCATAAATTAGTTCACGGACCTACTATCTTTAAATGGAATTGTCGTAGATCACGAAGAAAGCTGGTAAAAAGTTTCTAATTACAGTTTACGTAACAGCACAATATATTATGACATTTTTATGGGTTTTGGCTTCCCTTTTAAAAAAGATAATTACTTACAAACTTTTACAAGTCTGCAAAAATGTTTTTTAAGCTTAACTAAAATAAATATTGATTGCAATTCAAGAAGTTAAAGATTTTTCATTTAAGTTCGATAGTAAAGTTTTGTAATTACCAACAAATTTGAAATTGCAAAAGAAAGTGCTACATTAGACAGTGGTTTCTCTTGGCCGCAAACGAACTTGCGAAGTCGATGTTCACGGTAATTCATAAGTTCTGAAAGCCAACGAAAGTATGGAATAACCGAGAATTAACGATCCACTCATTATGCTAATACTTGTGGGCCGGCCCTCGCATTTTTTTTCGTTTTATTTAACGTTCCGTTTGGACAGTGCATTAAGACACAAATACACAAGTGCTTTCTCCGCATTTTAGCCGTCGCCGCACATCGGGCCAAGAATCAGCAAGCAGTATAGCAGTATAGCAGTATGGCAATATAGCCGTATAGCTGTATAGTATACAACATGTACGACTTATAAGCACCGAGAAGCGTAAATAAAATAAGAGTGTGCGTGCCCAGTGTGCGGTGTGTGTTTATGATGAGTTCAACGAACCTCGGGGAATTGTTGAGAATTAGCAATTCTTGAAAAATGCTACCAAAACGGGCAACACACACACACACTCACACGCGCTCAGATACACAGAATACACAGATACATTTGCCCAGGCAGTCGTACAAATATTACCCATCGTTCCGTATACAAATATACGATGTATGTTTGTATGTATGTATGTATGTATGTCGATGATGAAAGAAAGAAGAAAGCCAGGAGAAAAAAAAAAAGACAGCGAAAATGCTCGCAGGCATTTGCTACCTCTTTTGTTAGCTGCTGCGGATCAGGTGGGGGCATCGTGTTCGGGAGGCGGGGAAATACACAGCGGGAAATCCCCACATCACTTCCACATTGCAAATATCTATTATCATATCTTATCTGGGTTTGAACTCTACTTGCTTAATCCCGAATCATATCTCATAATAATAAACAAACCCCCCCAATATCATTGTGCTGAGATAACTTTTGTTTACTTTCAATTCTATTTATAACAATTGGATAGCAGGTCTTATCACTTTAAAAGTAAATCATTCATTTGAATGCCTCCGATGACCTTGTCAGAAAATTGTGTAAATTAGAGGAGAAATATTGACATGCGGTTTAAAAGTACATTGACTTTTTTAAGTGGGTGTGTCGTTGAGCATCGTTGATATGATTTGTTTATAAATCTGTTGGATGTTTCTAAGTTTTCTATGGTTAGTAGATTATTAGATCCATAGACTTTGTCACATACTTTCAATGATTATAATTAAAATATAATAACTTGTAAACTAGTTAAGAACTATACTCTGAGTAATCAATTTCTTTACAGCAAATCTTTACTTGTATTTGATTTATTGTATTGATTGGTAAATATTTTCGAGTGTACACCTGTAGCATCGTTTGTTGCACGTTTCAGGTGGGTTCCAGCCTTCTTTGTGCCTCTTCTGCCGCTTCTTCCCTGGCCACTTCTCCGATTTGTGTGTGTTCCAATGAAAGCGCGGCACCACCGGTGAAATGGCTAAGGGCGCCTTCTCAAGTGGAAAGCGGTGCGATGTGCCGCGATGCTCGAGTTGGACTTGGAGTTGGAGTCGGAGTTTGAGTGGCTCTTGGGCCACAAAAACCGCTTGAATGCGGCTAAGCCCGACTTGACTTGGCTCGTCTTGGCAATCGATTGAATAACCGGCCATCTGAGGAGCCTGTGAAATGCAATCATTTGACCCCATTTCGCTTGGCGATTCAAGTACAAAAAAAAAGAAAGAAATAAAAACCTGTTGCGCTCTGCTCGACTGTCACGTGCAGAGAATTGTTCTGCGAGAACGTTTCTACAGTCTACAGTCGACAGTCTACAGTCTTGCCTTTTCTTCCAGGTGCCTCGCACGTCACTCGGGAACCCAATCAACCAGCTACTTTGGAAACGATAAAAAAAAAACCAAAAAATAACAACAACAATAACAAAATCAAAATAGCCGCCGGAGGGGTTTTCTTTATCTTACGGCATTAAATTAACATACACATGGGTGTTGCTGTTGCCGGTTCCCCCCAAGTTGGTCATTATACAATTTTATTCAAATTTCCAGAGTCTCTCGCTTCCCGAAAAAAAAAAAATAAAACAAAAAAGGGTGAAAAAGAGCCAGAAAACATACAATTTCATAAAAATAATTAAACTGGTTATAGTTTTTTTTTCTTTCTCGGTTCGGTTTGGTTTCTCCTCTTTCTTCTTTCTACCTCTGTATCTCCTTATGGCTTTTGATATTTTTTTTCTCCTTTTTCGGCTGTTTTGTCTATACATTTTTTCGATTTTGCTTCTTTTTTTTCGCTTGCTCCACAATTTGGATTGATTAAATAATGTTGCAGCAAGCGAAAACCTTTCACATTTATAAAAGTGCAGCGGTGTGCGTGCGGATCATTATGTATGTATCGTTTTCTTTGTGTTGTGCACAGCATTTTTTA